TCTTTTGCGCCGTATGTTGCCTAGGCCCTTCCGACCCAGCGGGGCCCCGTTGCAATTGCACCGCCTGCACACCTGATCTCCACGTGGCAGCGGTTGACCAGCAGGCTCTGCAAGGGCTTTCTCCGCCCCGTCTGGTGTTTCGCTTACACACAAAGTGATTGGCCAAACACCAAAGTGGAACTTCCCACATGAACAACCATGCATGACCTTGAACTAGGATTCATGTGATATCATTTTTCATTATAAGCCATGATATCGCATTTCACGGTGAGACTAATATTTTACGTGTCAGCGTTCTTTACATTTGTAATCGTATGTCGGAATGTTATCCTCTTCTCTTTGTGCCTCGATGCACATCGAGCACGAACCAAGATTGCTTCGACGTAAATCGGCTGTGGTTCACGCGATATAAGCCTCATGCCGGACATCTATCTTGGAATCATCGCAGCTTTACAATTTAAAGTGCTTACATAATGCACATGCTGTTGAGAACTTGATGAGTCACAGAGCCGGCAGGCTATCGATTTCTCTGCACAAAGTTATACAAGAAAGTTCAAGTCTAGTAGCTATTTAATTTGGGAACTTTATATATTCTCGTGAATATTTTGCGAAGGCATCAAACATCTGAGGTGAATTCAAACAAGCAACGGTGATCGCGTTGCGACGACATTTCGCGCAACAGAGAGGAACGGTGCGACAAGCGAAGATCTTAAATCGCACGATTCATCGTAGAATCGCCACACCGCGGCGACCATATGTTGATCCTCCTGCCAGTGAAGTATGGTCGAGCAGAGCCCCCAAGACTGACGTGGCATGGAGAGGCTTTCCTTCACCAGTGGAAGGCCAAACTGCCGTCAATTATTTATCGTATAAAGAGCCTGCGGTTCAACAAAGATTTATTTTCGGGCCTGTTGGTGCAGGAAGGATTCCGTTAGGCCCAAAACTTTCGCAGATTGATGGCGAGTCGAATGCATTTAATCCCGTCGTATCAATACTCTTGAGTCACTTAACCGAATCGTCCTCAAATCCATCTATTATCCCTTCTACTTTCAATCCGTTATTTTTGTCGGTGCTTATACCCCCCAGAGGATGGATTGATAGGTTGATACGGTGTGAACAAATAGACACTATTTTGTGACAAACCCCACGAGAGCCGTGTATTGGAAGCTTTGCCACATATGTCATATATATAGACCGACGTATGGGAGCGACACACATTCTCATAAGAACTCAAGTATTTCACAATGCCCATCTCTGCCCTGCAGAAGCAGTGGTGCAACGGTTAGTGCAATGCGCTATGGAACCCAGTGACGGAATTGTTTTGTTTGGCCACGGCTAACATCAGTGGTGAGTGATATCTGAACGGGGTGAAACTCATTGGGCGACACGTTATCATTGTCGATGAGGATTTGCCCACAAAATAGAAACCTGGTTACAGCAGGGACAAAAAAATAATCAGGGAACAATCCAAAAACAACGGTAGGCGGTCAAGTTCCGATTTGCCAATGTCGTGCATAAGCACGGTACATCTCATGCAATGGGTATGGCTAAACGGTGAATCGGCAAATGTGCTGTGCACCTACACGTATGTTTACATTGTCTCGTCAAGGATCATGAAGCATCACAGCAGCAGCGTTTGGCTGGCCATCGAACAAAGACGGTCACAGCATCGTGCGCTTTCAGATTCGCTTCTGCGTCCGTCTGAAATGCTCTTCCTTCTGATATTAAGAAGCCACTGTAGCTACGCACTTTTAAACCTAGACTGAAGAATCGTTATTTTTTAAACAATGTTTTTTTGTATTTAGTTTGTTGTACTTCCCCCTCACCTCCGATCACCACGGTTGGCTACGTACGGTGCGAAAGAAGTTCAACGTACAATACGTGACTGCAACCATCGCTACTCAAATTACACACACGCACACCACAGCCGACGGGCAAATGTTCAGAGGGTTAATCTTTTGGCGGCTGCGTCATCAGACTCCTGTTTTCTCAGTAACGGCTTAAGCCACTGCAAAACGTTTCTCTGCTTAAACTTGTGGCATTTTGCCTCACTTGCAACAACCCGCACACCAATCGATTTTCAAGGCTTCGGTCCAATAGCCAGATTCCCAAGAGATAACTGAGTTAAAATGTAGATTCGCCTCGCGAGTTCGAACGATCCAGTTGCTTACGTGTCAGATTTACTCTGCCAGCTGGATGCCTTCTCCCGTGCAAGTGGCTCAGTATTGGCCAATGCACCGATGCTTTACGGTTATGTTCATGGCTTTTACTTAGTGACGTTATAGTGCGGGCATTAATTGTGAAGAGCAATAATCGCTGTCAAATGGCTTCATCGTTATCTCAGGGCTATAAGGCGCACTTTTTTGACTCCTGTATTTAAGCACCCGTTGGGAGTGCATCGTATAATCCGTCAGGTGTGTGCGTGTGTGCGTGACCAGATTTTAATAACTTTATTGACCGCAGACAAGTTTGGTGCGCGTCAGACTATCAGAAGTGCCTTTCAATCCAGAGAATGCGGTCATTATCAAGGCAAATGTTGCGTTGGTGTTTTCCTCAAAAGGCATTGGTAAATCAACGTTTACACACATTATAGATCGAGGTTGAGCATCAAAATGGTGTCAACTTTTTTTCCGTTTAAACTGTTTAAATGCACTATGTGGTTTCAACTTGAACTCGAGAGCGCTTAGCCAGTATGCTGAAAATCCTGGGTTCGAATCCAGAAAAACTGCCTGTTATCAAACGGGGTTCTTAAGCGTAGTGAGTTGAAGGTCACGGCCCAGTCACCAATAACTGCACACAACAAAAACCCGTGCTCTGTGATATCCGTTTCTGCGGGCCATTCTCCAGACACAGGGTCGTACTGCTCTGCGAGATATTTATATCTAATTCTTCCTCTTTTGACATGATTTCGATAGTATAATCGGGTTAAAAGTGGGCTTGGGGGGGGTGGAAATATATATATTGAACCAAAAAAAGTACTTAATCCTATAACCACTTACAGAATACAAATCTATATACGTCTTTCCGGAGGACACATGTTCGCCTGTTTCACCCTGCACTCACTGAATCTCAAGACTCCCTTCAGCAGAATCCTGCCAAATGTTTCGCGGTAGGGGGGGGGTCGACGTCGCTGCTTGTAATCCCGATTTTCAGTAAATGTGCCGTGTAACTTTTCAGGATTGCGACGTTTTGGGCCAACACCGGTTCAGGTACACGTTTATCTTAGGTAGGGGAAGAATCCCATAAGAATCGGGAGAAAACCCCATGAAGGACGGGTCGGGGGGGGGGGAGAACGCATAAACTCCACGAAGACATTTTGGGGTGTGAATATAAATGTGTCGTTAAACCCGCCACCACCCGCACACAGCCAGTCACTAAGGTCCGTCACAGCACACCGGTAAGCTGGAGAGTAAACCCACCGCCACATCTACAATTCGACCACCGTGACGTTTCTCCGGCAATTACAACCAGCATCATCAAATGTTGTGGGGCTGACTCTTCAACACACCGGTGATGTGCACGAGTAACGAATTGGCACGTGTCGTTTACGTGACAAACTTGATTAAATTTGGCTGTTGTCGGGTGGTGGCGGGTTTAACGACACATTGATATTTAGGCGATCTAACCCAAAAATAAAAGCTATATTGTGGACAAGATTGGTCACGAAAGGCTCCTACCACTACCACTACTACGCGTTAAACTCCACGACGAAATCTGCCCGAGTCAGGAATTGAACCCAGATGCTTGTTGGCATTAGGCACGAATGTTACCGCTGCACGCTTCCCCATCACCAACCGCACTGCGTGGCAAGCGCGAGAGAAAGTATGGTCAAACAACCCGCGCTACTGACGGTGAGCGAGGCGACGAAGCCAGCAGTGGATTGAACGAGTGGCTGTAACAACACGTGTTTTGCAATTCGGTACCAACCTCATCAATAACGCTGCACAACACTATGAGCAATAGTCACAAGATTCATGATCTTCATGATGCAATCAGAGGGCATGCTCCTTCGTGTATAGTGAAGTGCCCGTCAATTGGCTTTTCACAAGGGTGTGTCTCTCCCTGTGGTCGGGTGGATTTTTCTCCGGGTCCTCAGGGGTTTTCCCTCCACATTTTAGAATCACCATCACGCGTTCAGAGTGTCTGGCTGATATAAATGTCCACGTGATCATAAGCAACTTCGTTGAGCTATCATTTGATGATGGCCAGGTCGCTTCTGAAAAAATCTACAAAGTCGGTGGGCCCTTACCTGGAAAAAATCAACCTAAAATGTTTATACATTTTGACTTAAAACTTTCGTGACTGCAGGAGTTTATATTATTGGTTCTTTCGGTAAAGTCACGAAGATAGGAAACACAAATAATAAAATAAAAAATAAATTGAACTTTTTTATTTGAAGAAATAATACATTTTTTAATTAATTGAAAATATTTTTATTTTTTATTTTTTTATTTTCTACGTGACTTTTCCGAAAGAACCAAGAATATAAAAAATGTTCATAGTTTTTTGGCGGAAAGACCCCCACTAGAGGGAGCTCGAGAAAGAGAGAGAATGCCTCTTGTGGACGAATCTTCCACGACTGCACAGACGTCTCGGAAGACGTGGCAGTACCCACACTTCACCCCACCATACGCAAACTGCGGGCTCGGCTAACTTGCTGCGTGTGCAGTGTTCGTGCTGCTGTGTTGACAACGGCGGGAGGGGAGGAGGTTTAATAGACGTGCCCATTACTGCCGCGCCGGTAGATCGAACCGTGCAGTAACACAACCACAACAACAAACACGACCACTCACGAGAAAAGGTAATCGCAAAAACACTCCTCTCTCCCAGGACGCAAGGCCAGTGTTTCCCGGCGGCATTTTATCGACCAGTCTCAGATGAAGCGAGGTGGTGATGATGATGATGGTGGCGGTGATGGTGGTGTTGGCAAAGGGAAGTCCAAGAGCTGGGCTGAAGCCAACGGCGAGCCAGGCAATTGCGCAACGACCGGTGGGCGACTGCTTTGCCTTGGTGCCGCTGTCACGGTTTCCGCGTTCGAGTGAAGCCGCCGCGTGAAGTTGGAGGGCAGCGGGGATGTTTGCGAGCGGGCTCCTTGCTCCACAACCTCGTTGCCAGACAACCTGCGCAGGTGGTTCGCCAACCCGCCCGCGTGCGCGCGCGCAACCGAAGAGGTCGGCCGCTTGCACAGAACGGTGCGAAATAAGTTCAACATGACATGAACCAAAAACAGGACGCGGCTGTGTTTTTTCAGAAAGTTGGCGAATTAGCGAAGCGTGCGTGCGGGGGCAGAGGCGGGTGAATGATGAGCGTTGTGCCCTTGGTGCCGTGAAACGAGAATTGGAGAGGAACGAACAAAAATCGGGGTTTTTTTCTTTCTCGCGGCCGCGGGAAGTGAGCAGAGCGGAGAGTTGCGAGGACCGGACACACCTGGACAGGTGTGCGGAGGTGAGTCCAGACAACACGCGCCGCGCTAACCCTGCCCACAGGTGACAACGTAGTGCACGCAACGCGCCCTTGCCAAACCACCGGACATCTGAACACAACGGCGAAACAATATGAGACGGGCGACGTTTCGGGAAATGGGCAATTCTTCTTCATAGGCGTAATTTTTTGTTGGTATTGCAATGAAGATTTTACGTGATGTGAAAATTGTATTGACCAAAACATAATTGGTATCGATAGCATGCGCCTGCTAATAACTACACATCTTCACATGATCTATGTTGAACTTATTTCGCAACCTAAGTTGCGAACCGTGCTAATCGAATGTGCGAGTTAAATCCGGGTCGAGGGTCAGTCAACAAACGCCAATGTCAATCCACTGCTGGATGAGTCCGTCGAAGTGGTTACTTGACCACACTTCACCATGCTGCAAACACGGCGATTCGCTCTGTTTGCGGACACTTGCTGCCTGCACGGTCTATAAATAATTGCACGAGAGACCGTGTAAGTTGGTGTGGTCAGGAACCCACCCGACCGCCTTTGTATCCCCAGAAACACACCGCAGGACAGATTAAGAAGATGCCGCATGCCGTTAAAGCTGTGTGTTGTTAGGAATCGAACCCAGGTCGCTGGAATCGTTCTCTCCACGTGTTCTCACACAAAGACAAAGATACCCCGTGTAGCCTTACCAGACTGGTGGGGCAAGTGCTGTTAGCGAGCACCTATGAAGGCCGGCACGGCGCGCGAGGGAGTGGGTGGCCCACCACCTTTGTCTCCCCAGTGGCGATGTTTAAATACCGCACCAGGTACTCATTTAAGGCTGAGTCGACCTAGGGGAGGGCCCAGGACCTGTTCAGATAATTAATCGTCACCGGTGTTGGCAGTGAGCGGGTATCGAATTCGGGTCGCCGGGTTTCGTATCGCAGCGCACTAACCACTACACTACCGCTCCCCACACATACTCATGAGCTCTCACCCACACGCTCGTACTTACACAAAAAAAGACAAAGATACCCCGTATAGCCTTAACATACATTTGGGGCAAGTGCTGTGAGCGAGCACCCATGATGGCCGGCACGGCACACGAGGGAGTGGGTGGCCAGCAGCACACTTGCACCCACGCAGGCGCCCTGACTTAGCATTCCAACATTCATTGGTCCACTTGTAACAAAAATACAAAGATTGTTGGGGGGCTCGTGCTCACGGCCAACACTTGTAACACACACTCCCACACACGCGCACACATGTACACTCATTCGCTCACTCAACTCGCATGAATACTCACTCTTCACAAACACACGCGCTCATACACTGGCTCACTAACGCACGCGCTCACACACCCCACCACTCTCTCACGCGTACACTCACACAGACGCATTCACTCTGAAAGCACGCGTTCACTCGCTGTACTCCCTTTACTCCCACACACCTGCCCTCGCACACTCCAGCACACTCACGCACAGATGCCCTACATGGAAGTTCTGGGGCGCTCGGCCGAGCCGGTCGCCTTCCTCTCGGGTCTGGCGTCCTCCCTCGTGGGTCCGACCATCCTCATGCTGGTGTACGAGCGAAGCGGAGCGACACTGGACAGCCGACACGACGGCTCCGACGGCACGACGCACGTGGCCTGCGGCGGCGGCGGCAATGCCACGACGCTGGCGGGCTCGGAAGACGACGCCCAAAAACGCGCCTCGCAGTTCTTCATGTTCTACAACATCGCCTCGAGCGTGAGCGCCATGGTGCCCAGCCTCGTCATGGGTCAGCTGGGAGACCTGCTGAGTCGACGGCTGCTGCTGGTGGTGCCCCTGCTGGGCACCTTGTTGTCCCAGCTGCTCCTGCTCTTCGTGGTCGGCGTGAACATGCCCCTGCAGTGGCTCTACGGCTACGTGCTCATCTCGGGCCTCACCGGGGGTTCCTCGACGCTCTGGGCCGGGGCCAACGCATACGCGGCCCAAGCAGCCCGGACACCGCCGCCAAGCTCGCAAGTCGGGCGGAGTGACGAGGATAGGCCAGGAGGGGATCACGACGGTGACGACGGCGACGCCGAGGCGTCGGAGGGCGCCCCGTTGTTCTCCGACCGTTCGCGAAGCCACGCGGCCGGCACCGGCTACGGCAGCGCGGCCGCCGCGATCGACGACGGCAGAGGGCCCGGGGGCGGCCTCTGTGACGTCGGAGAGGCGCCGTCGTCCAATCAGGGAACGGCTCGGCAGGGGCGCGGGATTCAAACGCCCGTGCGGCACGGGCGCAGCTCACGCAGGCTCATGTTGCTCGAGCTGTCGTTTGGCTTGGCGGCCACGCTGGGCAGCATCGCCTCGGGACACGTCTTCGCCAACTTCAGGCTGCCGCTTTCGTTCAAACACGGCTCGTTTTCAGTGCTGGCCGCGATGTTCATGTACACGCTGGCAATCTTCTACTCGCTCTTCGTGCTCAAAGACGTCAGGCCGCAGGCGACGGCCAGAGAGGCCAGCAGGGTCACCCTGAAGGGAGTCCTCCACGTCTACAGATTTGGGATGTTCAAGGTACGGCCACCGGTTTCACGTTATGAATACACTGCATTCATGTGTGCATCCCTCTTGTCAACTCACTGCTGGATGATGTGGGTTTCCCCACGTCGTGAAGTTCGAGGGGATGATTTGCAGTGCGGGTTGTTGAAGGTGGTGAGCATACGGTGAAGCTTATAAGTACAGAACAACAACGGACGTTGCTTTACGGCCCACAGCGTAGCCTCACGGCGGCGATATTTGTAACTGGGTGTAAACATTCGTTTCGTTATTTAGGAAAGCTCCAGTTGAGTCTCATGATTGCTTTTGAGAAGGGTCCTGCATTGGGGTGTGTGGGTTATTTGTGTTTTGTATTGAGTGGATTTGCATGTGATAGGAAACCAAAAGTACACATGGGGAAAACAACTCAGAGGTCTGCACACAGACAACTTACACGAGCTCACTTGTACTGCCATTCTGCTGGCCATCTTGCAGCACAGCAGATTTTCCACCAACCTTTGCTTCCAAAGAGCTGGATCACTGGTTATCAATTGCCACCACATTGAAAACAAAACGTCTCATGTTATGCATATTTATATAATGCCTTATTCCAAGACACTTTAACATTCGACATAAGATGACAGTGGTTGAGATAAAAAGAGGTTATTAAAAGTGGTGGTGGTGTAGTTACATGGTGACGAGAGAACAGGTGGGGGTGGTTAAGGAGGGTTGGGGTAGTAATAGGGGTTGGAGTAGTGATAGGGGTTTGGGTAGTGGTAGGGGTTGGGTAGTGGTTTAGGAAGTGATAGGGGTTGGATTATTGGTAGGGGTTGTGATAGGGGTTGGGGTAGTGATAGGGGTTGGGGTAGTGGTAGGGGTTGGGGTATTTGTAGGGGTTGTGATAGGGGTTGTGGTAGTGATAGTGGTAGGGGTTGTGATAGGGGTTGGGGTAGTATTAGTGGTTGGGGTAGGCCTGGTCATAGCTGGGAGGCGGAGGTAGGAAGCAGCAAGAGGATGGACCAGAGCAGGGGTCATCAACCTGCACCACCGATTAGCACGGTTGGCTACAACATGGTGTGAAAGAAGCTCAACATGCACACGTACATACAGACATAATGTGACCGTACTGATTCGTCGACTGATGGCGCTTGCAGCCAGGTGGCCCCAGCGATCAGCGCACGGTCTTCGTCCTGCTCTTCACTAGCGCCATGCTCTACCAGCTGGTGGTGCGCGCCTTCGTCGACTTTCTGGGACTCTTCATGCTCCGCTCGCCACTCTGCTTTGGGCCGGACCTCGTGGGCTACGCCACGGCCATTGGCTGCTGCATCTACATCAGCAGCTTCCTCGCCAACCTGATGCTGTCGCGCTGCTGGACGGACCAGGCGTTAGCCATGATGGGTGTCGCGTCCTTCTGCGTGGGCACCTTGGTGATGACCTTCATCAAGACGATGCCGATGTTCTTCGTAGGTACTTATCCCGCCCGTCCGCGCATGCGTGCGTCGCTCAGTAGTTCAATCAATTTCTGCCAATGTTGAGGACTTGTGTCTACCGGGCTTGACTGTTTTGTGTCCCCTGAACGGTGTTCGTCTACCGTCATGAAGGTCAAAACACTCCCCTTTCCGCTGCCTTCCGCTCGCCGCTTTGCTTTGGAGATCCCTCCGACGGTCTCGTTTTTTCAATTTCTTACGAGCTCGTTCAAGTCACGTATTAAGCTCTCATCTATTGCACCTTCAATCGCGCCTTTTGTCGCTGGCTGCTTGGTACTTCGGCCCTTTGGGCCTGTGCCCCAGTTTAAAGTTTATTTTGTTTAACCAGCTTGAGAAGACGAGAGATCAGGAGAGATTCTCGTTAATCAAAACACTACACCATATGACATTGTTTTTTCCGAGACCAAGGTGCTCTGCAAACCCTCGGACCACCATCAGAAATTTGTTCATGAAGCCATCCAGATATACAAACACAGACAAAACTTTAATCGAGAAGATGGATTCAGATTTAGCAATCATTGGAAAGATGTGATCATTTTCTCACCTGAAGATGGACGCTTGTGTTGCAACCGAAACGTCGTATTTTTTTATCAGAGTATTTTTTTTTGCATTCTGATCACAAGCATTGTGGTGAATGCAGACAAGATTCCTTGTAAAAGGTTTCAGTTTGGTGTTTTAACATCTTAACACCTGTTTTGTTGCCAGAAAAAAGAGGTTGTTTTGTTTATTCAGGAAAGAATTGCAGAGTCTCATTACCTTTTCTAGAGGTTCCATGGTGGCAAATTTCGTTTTACTTATCCCTGAAAGTCTCATCGGGTTTCAATATATATTTCTAGAAAGAGTCCAACTTGAATTGGGATTATTGGCCAACTCCTTGTTTTAATGAGTACTGGCTTCTTTATGCGTGGGAGGAAACCGGAGTGGCCGGAGAAAATCCACGGGGCATTCAATAAAAAGAAAACCTCATGTTAGCACAGTTGGACAGATCGGGGACGCACTTGCTGTACCGCCAATTCTTGGCCACTTAAAAAAAAAAACAGAGGGATTTGGGGGGCCTCACATATTGTACCTTCTTGATCTCAGAAGGAATTGATGATGAGGTGTATGTATGTACGTATGTCGAAACTTCTTTCGCACCGTAAGTTAGCAAACCGTGCTAATTGGAGGTGCCACGACTGGTAATGATGACCTCATCATCTTGCCAGATTTGGGCGGCCCTCGTTTTTGAACCAGTTTCCAAAATTGAACCAGACGTGCGTGTACACATTGATATTTCGTGCAGCTAATTAGTCAAGGTTTACGTGTTAATTAAATTAGCACTGGCAAGGCTAATTACGTATTGAAAAAAATCTGATTATAATCATAGGCAGCGATCATATTTACCTAATTATCTAAATTACCCGCAGATGTTAATGAGGATTTATATTCAGGCGTGTTTGGATTAATGACAACAGCGACCTTGCTGGTTGCATTAAATGAATAGAGAATCTCTAATTGAACGCACGTGCCGCTAAATAATTTAACCGCGAATTAATTTATTCAAAACTTATCGTTATTTTTTTGTTATCTCAATAAGGTATTTAAGAATGTATTGCCCATACTAATTTACGAAGATTGATCATTAGATTTGCACAGAATAGGTGGTTGGGTGTCGCCTAATTTTCAGTTGGCTTTAGTGTCGCACTCCACAGGAGGTGGTGGTGGTGTAGGTTCACTGTTAATTGGGGCCGTATTGAGTACAGGGACTCCTCTACTAACAAACGAGTTAGGTTCCAGAGGTCTGTTCGTAAATTAAAATGTGTATAAGTGAAGGAGCCACCGCACGTGTACTCCTCTACTTACGAACATCTAATTGTAAATAAACTCCTCTACTTACGAACGTCGACTTATGAACTTTCAGAGATACGAACAAACCTGTCCGTATGTCTAGTTGCCTGTTCTGACCGAGAGTCGTAAGTTCAACCGCTGCTCAATATACGGCGGTGGTGGCATCTACATCTATAGAACATGAAGAATCAGTGGCATCTACACCTACAGGAGTATTATACAACTTTTAAAGCCATTCCTCGTGTTTAGTGTACACGCCGTACAACATGTTTGGAATCGACAGGAGTAAAGTTTGACTTACGAACAGATCGACTTACGAACAGACGTCTGGAACTCGTTCGTAAGTAGAGGAGTATCTGTATTTGTAAGTGAGTAAGCACAATACTCAGAGCGACGTAGAACTTTACGGGCGGCTTAATTTGCTCGATGCACGATGAGAGTTGTAGTTAGGGAAGAGGGTTGTCCGTTGCCATGCAGTGTTAAGTTTGAGCATTAGGGTGGCAGGACGGCATAGTGGTTATGGTCGTGCCTCACATCTAAGAAGGACCCAAGGGTTTGATACCCGAATGGGGCGCCTTTCTACGTAATGGTTGTTTTAATATATTCTCTCTCCCCGTTCTGCACGGAATTTCCTCCCGGTTGACCGGTTTTCTTACATGGCACAAAAAAAACACATACACATTGTAACCGGTATTGGCCAAATATCCCAAAGCTGAACAATTACATTGCAAATTACTCATTTGGAACAACACGCAAATACGGCAAGCAACATTGCCCCCTCGCGCAGAAAGTTGCAGGACCCCTCCTTGGAAGAGAGTCGTGAGACGTTCCTCGGTAAACAAGTGCAATAATGGTAACAACATCAGTGGCCCTGCCATTTAGAAACATGCATTGAGATGATGTCGGTGCTATAAATGTCCAAATGATGGTGCCACTTTGTTGAGCTATCATTTGTGACCAGGTCGCTTCTGAAAAATAAGTTAACACATAAGTGGGCTTTGCCTGGTAGGATGGAGATGGTTTAGTGTTGTCTTTGTTTGTGTTTGGGTGATTTGTTCACCTTTTTTGTACTTTTTCGCTATCATGTTATTGTACTGTTTGTTGTAGTAACGTTCTTGCCCGCTCTGACTGCACATCTGTGAAAAAGAGCTTTATAGCTCATCGGATTCTTCCAGATGAAATATATATTCTGATAATGCATTCACTCAATCAACGCCCAGGTTTCTCATCCTTTGGGGGCCTATATTCAAATATTTGGGGGGTTTATTTGTATGTTTGTAGTTACAAGTGTAGACCCCCGTCATATTCATTAGGAATGTAAGCTTCCCAGCCCTTTTAGAACACCACCATATCTGGCAACAGCGAACCCACTCCGTGGCAGGTGTGTGTCGACCTATCCGACTGCAGCACCATGTGACAGACGCTGCCAAGATATCGTTGGCGTGCGTCATAACCTGGCCTATAAATAGACGCGGAGAAGCTGCCAAAACACGAACAACACTCACCTTGCAGGTGACTTGTTGAGAGCAAGGTGAGCAGGGGAAAACCCAGCGACAGTTTTCTACTTGTGCCCCCCCCAACACCACCACCCGCCCCCAACTAGTTTGTGCAGAAGGTTCAGTTTCATTCATTAGGTATAACCCTGCGAGCCATGCGGCTATTGACTCGGGTGCAACCGCAACAAAACAAAAACATGAACAAGAAGCATCTTAAAGTGACGAGACTAAACGCAACAGAAAAGTCCTGGGGGAAAAAAACAAAGTATTCCAGAAAAAACACCGTATTTCAAAGCTGTGTGCAAAAATCCCAGTGGGATGCAAGTCAAACAATAACAACCATAAGACAATGTAGATTAAAGTAAAAAAAGGTGTCAGTTTTGTTGCCAGATAAAAGGGTAAAAAAACAATTATCATATTTTTTCTTCTGGCAAATGAGGTTCCAATAGTGTAAATGCTTACCCCGAGCTCTCATACTCTGATGGTGCATTGTCTTTGAGTTGTGCGCCTTTTGGCGTCATCTGGTCCAACACCATGTGAGACTAGGCTCTAAGGAAAGCTGTCTCGGGTGTGGACCAATCAACTTCAAGGACAGTGCATACATTATCAGAGTTGTGTGTTTTGTTTGCATTACGACTGCAGGTATTGTGGTCTATGCAAACATGACTCCTTGTAAAAAAAGGTGTCAGTTTTGTTGCCAGATAAAAGGGTAAAAAAAACAATTATCATATTAGATTAAAGTCATCAGGTAATTGGCCAATGTGTTACATGTACGCACAGCACGTGCATAGTTAACATCGCAGTGTTGTCTTTTAAAATTATTATAAATGTGCACGTGCACCTACAGCCCTCTGTCAGTCCACTATTGGATGAGGGCCACCCTAAAGCCTCGCAGGTGTCGGGGTTAGTTGACCCTACTTCACCACGCTGGTGAAGGTAGGGAACACAGACACGGCAGCATAGAAGTACCGCACAACAAAACGGTGGATTTCACCGCGCCGTGCTATGCCGTCCACTTCATAGTCACGTGGTCCTAAGACGGCCCGTTCGTTTCTATGTGCTATGGAGAAGGGCCGTTGCCCGAAACGTCGCCTATTACGTAAATGTGTCCTTTCATGTAAAGGCCACAATGTGATTGAGTGAAAGGCTTTGTGCGTGTCTTTGGTTTGTACGTGGATCTGCGCGCACTCTGAGCGCTTGCTAATCTATGCTGAACACAAAAAAGAAAAACCTGCTTAGTTTCCGAGATCTCACCTGGCGCGCCCCGGGTGATTTCATGACAGGGGGGGCGGGGGGGGCGAATGTGACAACTCAATGTGAAATATACCCCGACGGCAAAGATAACCCACGTGGCGTGACGGGAAGGTCCTTCCTTATCTTATATCGTCTACAAGTGGTTTGACAAGAAAGGCCGTAACATCTCACACATGTCACATGAGTACACGCTTGAAAGCAAAGAAGTTATTAGTAAACAATAACTTGAGCGCCGTTTCACTTATGATAGTTGTCTTAGAAAAGTATATATATATAACGTCGAATTATTTATATATACAGTAGCTCATCGTGTGACCTTTATCACTGGCAATATTCCTCCGATGCTTGGATTGTTTAAACACATATTTGAACAACGGGCTTGCTCCGGGTGATTCTGTTGACAAACGCTGTACGAATTTCAAGGTGCGGTTGTTCGTAGTTCAGAATTCTGTGCGGGAGTCGCGTTTTCGTCGAGCTCTGTGTGCGTGCGCGTGTGTGCATGTGTTCGCGTCGAGCTCTGTGTGCGTGCGCGTGTGTGCATGTGTTCGCGTCGAGCTCTGTGTGCGTTCGCGTGTGTGCATGTGTTCGCGTCGAGCTCTGTGTGCGTGCGTGTGTGTGCATGTGTTCGCGTCGAGCTCTGTGTGTGTGCGTGTGTGTGCATGTGTTCGCGTCGAGCTCTGTGTGCGTGCGCGTGTGTGCATGTGTTCGCGTCGAGCTCTGTGTGCGTGCGCGTGTGTGCATGTGTTCGCGTCGAGCGCGCTGTTAAGTGTGACATCTGAAGCACTAACGAGAAGCCATCAGGGTTCCACGGTGGCAAGATGTTAACGAGCTCGCCTGATATACAGGAGGTCGTGGGTTCTGTCCGGACCCTGACGCCTGCTGCATTTTGGAGTTTGTGTGTCTCTCTCCCCGTAGTCATGTGGATTTTTTTTTTATCTGGGTCCTCTGGGTTTTCCCTCCACGTTAAGAAACGTGCTTCTCCATCATTAGACCTCCTTTGCCAGTACCAAAATATAATAGGGTTTTTCCTCTTTTTTGTGGTAACAAAACTGAAACCTTTTTACAAGGATTCATGTCTGCATTAACCACAATACTTGCAGTCAAAATGCAATAAAAAAACATACTATGATAATATAAGCATTGTCCTTGAAAAAAAGTTGAATAACCCTATTATTAAACGTGCGTCCAGATTATTTGTCTGCTATAAATTTCCACTCGATCAGTCACTTCGTTGAGCTATCATTTGTGGAAGTCAGGTCGCTTCTGAAAAAAACTATGTAGGTCAGTGGGCCTTACGTGATAAAACATTTTTTAAATGGTTCAGTTTTAGTTTAGAAACTTCTGAAGAAGTTCACGGCCTACAGTGCGAAACGTCGGGCATTGGGCTAAACGACGAGCAGGCCAATCCGAAACGCACGGGAGAGCCATACAGTGCAACCGCGAAAAAACTTGCTCAGGCAGTTTTTGTTGTCGCTAAAAATATCTTTAAAGACTCGCTTTCTAAACATAGTGGAGGTTATTCAAAACGAGTCGGAAGGCCCTTCAGGTCCAACCGTGATAGGTTACTTCAGGTAGGAGTTCATTTACCCCACAGAGATTTTCATGAATTGAATTTGAATAACTCAACCAAACTATTTTTTTTATTTTACCAGGTAAGGCCCCACTGAGCTATATAGCTCTTTTTCAGACGCGACCTGGCTATCACAAATGATAGCTCAACGAAGTGGCTTACTTATAGCAGCCACATACTCTAAACGCACATTAGTTCTAAATATTGAGGGAAAAGCCGGAGGACGCAGAGAAAAATCCACGCGATCACGTGGAGAGACTCCAAATATACAGCAGGCGTCAGGGTCGGGATCGAACCCCCGGACCTCCTGCATACCAGGCGAGGGAGATAACATCTTGCCACTACGGCGGCCTAAAACTGAACAAATAAACAAAAAAATTGCAAAAGTGCTGCCCTATACTGGCAGGACGCGAGGTGACTTGAGGGATTCTCAGAGGTAGCTCTGTGGTGTCCGTGAAAGGTGCGAATGTCTACTTCATCTCACGGTTGAGAAATTGGTATATTGCCATCCGGCCACGTGGCCAGATGACGAACGTGTCATCTACGTATCTCTTCCACAAGGAAGGACGTCGGGTGGATGTCTGGATGGAATCTGTCTCAAATTTCTCCATGAAAATGTTCGCTACCACTGGTGATAGGGGAGAGCCCATAGGGATACCTTCATTCTGTTTGTATAAAGTACCATTCCAGGTGAAGTAAGTCTTGGTAAGGTAGTGCCTTACCAACGAAGGTACATCATGATCCAATCCCTGTTGGACTAGGTCTTCAACGATTGCAATAGTATCAGTGGTATGTCCTCCCCCCCCCCCGTCCCGTGCCTATATAAAGCCACAACAGCAGATTTTTTTTCTCACCTGAAGATGGCCGCTTGTGTTGCGACCGAAACTTCGTGTTTTCTTTTATTATTTTTTCTATCTACGTGACTTTACCGAAAGAACCAGAGAGTATAAAACAATGTTCGTGAGACAAATGTAAGTTACAATATATTAAATAAAACCCAATCCATTGTAGGAATTTGAAATGAGACTCATGTTTGTGCAAGGATATATTGAAAACCATAGATCGGACCAGTAAGTAAAGTTATTAGATCAGAGGTCAAAAATTAGAAATGTCGACCTTGTTCGCATAAACTACGTAACGAAATGTGCCATGGTATTGCAGTAGATCACTCAGGTTACACGGCGACCTGAGTTTTGACTCCAGGCCACGGCTAACAGAGGCGGCAGGTGATATGGAGCGTAGTACGGTGGCTAGGAGATGTTATCTACCTCGCCTGGTATGCAGGAGTCCGTGGGTTTGATCACGACCCGGACGCCTGCTGTACATTCGGAGTTTGCGTGTCTCTCTCTCCCCGTGGTCGCACGGATTTTTCTCCGGGTCTTTCGGGTTTTCCCTCCACATTTAGAATCATCAGCATCACGTGTTTTTTTTTTTATTAAATCTGTCTGCTATAAATTTCCACACGATAAACCACTTCGTTGAGCTATCATTTGTGGAAGCCAGATATCTTCTGAAAAAGAGCTACACAGCTCAGAAGGCTTCGTTTTAGTGGTACTAGTGATATTCCGAACCGGTTCTGGCCACTCAACCGGTTTAGTGAGCCACCGTCAAAACCATCTGAATGACCGACGTGGTTTTCGGGAAGCCTTCACCCGGGAGTGATCTGTCAACGTGATGAACACAAACATGTACAAGGGGCACTTGGTACACGTGCAATGTATCCAACGCATTCAGCGTGTGTGGTTCAATCATCTGCTGGCGATACTCTACAAAGTTGCCCCTAGAGGGCGATGCTCTACAAAGTTTCCTCCAGTGGGCGATATTCTACAAAGTTTCCTCTAGAGGGCGATGTTCTACAACGTTGCCTCTAGAGAACGATGTTCTACATAGTTGCCTCTAGAGAACGATGTTCTACATAGTTGCCTCTAGAGAACGATGTTCTACATAGTTGCCTCTAGAGAACGATGTTCTACATAGTTGCCTCTAGAGAACGATGTTCTACATAGTTGCCTCTAGAGGGCGATATTCTACATAGTTGCCTCTAGAGAACGATGTTCTACATAGTTGCCTCTAGAGAACGATGTTCTCCATAGTTGCCTCTAGAGGGCGATATTCTACATAGTTGCCTCTAGAGGGCGATATTCTACATAGTTGCCTCTAGAGAACGATGTTCTACATAGTTGCCTCTAGAGAACGATGTTCTACATAGTTGCCCCTAGAGGGCAATGTTCTACATAGTTGCCTCCAGAGGGCGATACTCTACAAAGTTGCCGACAGAGGGTGATGCTCTACAAAGTTGCCGACAGAGGGTGATGCTTGTAGCAGTTCCACATCACGCATCCCCGTCGTCGTCGTCGCCGCCAACTTCTTGGCGACACAACGCACTTGCGTGTCTTCTCCCGATGCGTCCTCGGTCCTCAACCGCGTCTCGTTTCGGTACGATGTCCGACGTTTCGCTCCGCGTGCTACGAATTTTTTTGGGAACCGAAATTGACCGTGAATGTGTGTCCCGAAGAAGCTCCCACCAGAACGTGGAATGAAACGTCCGACATCATGCCGAAACAACGACACAGTTATTATTTGCTCAACAACAACAACAACAGCGTGCATTGCAACTGGTATTGGCCACAACATTATTCACTGAATAATTACCTGAAAAGTACTCAATTGGGACGACACGTTGGAACCCCACACCCCACACTGGGAAACTTGGCAGGAAATCTTGTAACAGTCTTGAGACTCGGTGAGACTCCCCTGGATGACGTCAATAAGCATAACACATTTCCATTTTATTCCATCGCATTGCAAAATAGTCCGCCGGCTTCTCTGTAAATGCGAACCCCGTGAAGTTCTTGAATTGAACCACTGCAGATAGAATCGCGTAGCTGCAGGGAGAAACGTGAAAAGCGGCATCGCTTTTTTAATCCGCCAAACATTCCTTTTCAGGAGTGTCAAACTTACTATATCTGGACAGTTTTTCATCTCGTCAGGTATTCTTTGAGTGTTGGGAAAAAAACTAGAATGCCGTGCACGCAAGGGAAGGGCATCCGTATTTTGTAAAGATGGAGCTGCTGAAATGTGATGACATCGGGCACATTCCGTGTGATTTAGTAATTGGAGAAAGTGTTCCATGCACCCGTTTAAATGTTTTTGGATATCAATTGTACACTGACACGCTTCCCCGTTCCCCCTTCTCGTTGCAGCAAGGGTCTTGATGCAGTTATCTTTGATGCCTCTACCCAACATTCGCTCTTCCATGGCAAAAATCACTGACCCGCAGTGGCTGGGTAAGCTGTGGGGATCAAGATTGGCATTTACAGGACATACGTGTACGTCATCAGTTTTCTTCCGATTACATTCCGATGACGTAAGTATACGTGTACGCCAGATAAATAAATACAATTAATAAAATATATTTACCGGTAAATAAGTTTCCCGGTAAATAAGTTTCCCGGTAAATAAAATAAATTTACTGGTAAATAAAATAACTTTACCGATAAATAAAATAACTTTACTGGTACCAAGGTTCCCACAAAGCCATGCGGGAGGTCGTGTTGCACAGTTTGACGTCAGCTGTCAGAGTGCAGTCATGTTGCTACGGTTCTCTGCGGTAACAATTTATTTGAAAACAACGGCGCTACTACACCTCTCTAAATACAATTTACGCTAGCCGCTTGCACGTTCCGAGCTTCAAGGGACCTACCCTGCAACTGACATCTCAGAACGGGTAAGGGATAAATGAATGCCTCCGTGACTCAAAAAACACCTCCAAATTATTGCAATGTTGCTGCTGCAGTCTTAGGCCAACGGGATCCAAAGGGGGAATCTGTCCTCATGTGGCACAAGGTAATAGCAGCACTGGAAGGAAAATGGGGGGTGGGGGGGATAATGATGATGGCACATGGTTTTTCCCAATGAAGTAAAAATTGCGAGTAACTTACCGAAATTCAACAATATTGGGACCACAAACGTCGGCACACGTGGCCTGCTGCTTTGTCGAGTAACACCGCCGGGGATTTTGAACGTCCACAGCGAGATGCAGACCCGCACGCAGCCACGGTTATTTTTTTTTTATAACTTAATGTTCCTCGAAACTTTTCTAAAAATACGCAGGTTGACATATAACAGCAATGTGTGTTATATGACGTAACATGTATCCCTCTATTGAAGGAACAAAACAGGAGGATTTCTCCACAAATCTGGCTGTCGCCTGATGAAGCTAGTTGCAATTACTGGCGAAACGTCGTACTCAGATTGTAAATGTTGTGGCTTTGCTCTCCAACACACCTGTGTGCAGTACTAGTGACGAATTGGTATGTTCTGTTTACGTGACAAACCTTACTAATTGGATGTGTCGGGTGGTGGCGGGTTTAACGACACGTATATATTTACGTGATCTAACCCAAAACAAAAAAAACTATTATGGACACGCAAATATGGTTTGTTATAAGAAAACTACAGGTTCGACGATGCTTTTTTTCGTGTCGGGCACTGAGCCGAAACCGTCACACTTGCTACGCTCGAATCGAGAAGCTGACTAAGCCGCGGGCAACAAGTCCCATTGATTTAATCGCAATGCCCCTTGCATCCGGCAAGGCAAAAAAACTACGTCTCAAGGGTCCTCTGAACCAGGGTCCTCGCAATGAGATGTCCTGTGGGGCAATTCCACCCAATGTAGGGTTTTTGCAGAAGTTGGCCGGCTCTGCAGCGGTGGCACTTGGCAAAAGGTAACTGGGCTACAGTGTCAGCCCCCCCCCCCACCCCCCGAGTAGCTCAAGGGAACCCCGCCCCCAAAACCATGAAATAATAGACAAACAAAAAACTTTTTTTTATTTTTTGTGGGATGCAATTGCACGAAAGACGCTCTGTAAAATGAAATTATCTGCAGCTCTTGTCTCTCATCTCACTACACCTCTATATCTTGTCTACAGCTCTCATCTCATATTCTTTGGTTCTTTTGGTAAAGTCACGTAGAAAGGTTCAAAGAAAATAACAAAAAATAACAAAAAACAAGGACGTTTCGATCGCAACGCAAGCGGTCGAAAAAATAGAGGAAAGCTGCTGAGGCAGACTGTATTAAAGGTTTGAAATGGGTGTAAAATGGGTGTAGCCCAAGGGCCATAAACGAAGTGGGCGGGGCTATTGATGTTAATGTGACAGAAATTAGCATGTTAATGGAAGATCGGAGGACAACCTCCACGACGAGCGTGCAGAGGTGGCTATGTTATATGTGAGAGAAATTAGCATGTAATGTGAGATCTCAGAGCCGCAGCCACGTCGCCGCGCGAGGTGGCTGAGAAATTTTACCTGTTAATGTAAAATCAGAGAGCCACAAATAACAACTAACATCGGAAGGTGGCAGGATGGAAACATCACAGCCAGTTATGACTTAAAACTGATTAACAACGTCCTTCCAATGATTCCTCAGTTTGTATCCATATTCTTGGTTGAAATTGTGTCTATAAATATGGATGGCTTCATGAACGAATATTTGTTGATAGCCAGTGGGTTTGCAAAGTACATTCGTCCAGGAGAAATCTATTTCGTGTGAGCCCACCGCATTAAAACAATGATCAGCCACGGCCGAGGTGTTGGTCCTACCGTATTTCAGATCTGCCTTATATTCACGAACACGGTCCGAGACATGTCGCTTAGTTTCCCCAATGTTACTATTGCCGCAGGCACAGCTTAGTTTGTAGATGCCGGGGTATTGCATGTCAGGGATCACATTCTTCACAGATGGGATCAGATCAATAATTTTATGTACTGTGTTAAATCGAACCTGGATCTTGTGTTTGTTCATGATTTTGGAAATATTTTTAGTGACCCCTGCTATGTATGGCAAGGTGATGGTTTTGATTGGGTCCTCAGATGGTTATTTCCCAACGGTTGGGGTGATAGCTTTACGGATTGTGCAATCTGAATATCCATTCATCTGAGAACTTGGTGTACGTGTTCCAGTTCACTGGCTAGGTGATGATGGTCGGAAATACATCGAGCTCTATGGTGTAGAGTTTTGATGAGGGAATTCTTCTGGGATGGATGGTGGTTGGAGTCAGGTTTTAGGTAGGCATCCGTATGGGTGGCTTTCCTGTAGACAGAGTGTCCCATTGAGCCGTCTGGTCTCTTATCGATTAAAACATCCAAGAATGGTAACTTGCCATCCTTTTCCACCTCCATGGTGAATTTGATGACTGGGTGTATGGAATTAATGTGGTTGAGGAATTGGTTCAGAGCTGGTCAGCCATGTGGCCAGATGACGAACGTGTCATCTACGTACCTCTTCCACAAAGAGGGACGTAGAGTGGATTCCTGGATGGCATCTGTCTCAAATTTTTCCATGAAACATTGGCTACAACTGGAGATAAGGGAGAACCCATTGGGGTACCTTCAAATTGTTTGTAGAATGTGCCATTCCAGGTGAAGCATTGGTGAGGCAGTGTCTCACCAGGGCCGGTACATCAGGATTCAGTCCTTGTTGGACCAAATCTTCAATGATTGCAATGGTGTCAAACACCGGAAGTTTGATAAACAAAGAGACCACATCGACACTAACGAGCAAATCACCTGGAGATAGTGAGATGTCCTTAATTAACGATACCAAGTGAGCTGAGTACAGCTGAGGTGGTCTTGAAAGTGAATGGTTGTAAGGTTTAAGACAAAAATGGAGCCAGTTTGTAGGTGGGTAAGTCAATGGTGGAGACGATAGGACGAAGGGGTGTCCCTTCTTTATGGATTTTTGGAAAGCCATACAATCTGGGTGGTCTAGCAGCAGAGGGTTTTAAGGAAAACCGCTTGGTTGGTTCGACCAAAGATGTCGAATCAGTGATGATATTGTTGGTTTTCGTAACAAGGCGGTTGGTGGGAACTCTTTTAATTGTGGTATAGCTACCATCATTAGGTAGGTCCTGAATTTTGTTATTGTATGTGGTTTTTGTCCATGATAACTGTGGCATTGCCCTTGTCGGCTGAGAGGATGACGATGTCGTCTCTCTTTTTTAATTGAGAAAGCTCAAAGTGCTCATCTTTACTGATGTTGCTAATAGGTGTTTTAGCGTTTTTGAGGATTTCAGCGATTTCCGATCTTGCCACGTCTGCTGTAATGTGTCCCAAACCCTTAAGGGCTACGTCAAGACCTGGGAAATGCTATCATCAACTGGGATGTGTTTAAGGGTGACTGCGAAATCCAACCCTCTCACCACATCTCTCATCTCACTACACCTCCATATCTTGTCTACATCTCTCGTTTTTTTTAGTGTAAATATTATTGCGCACACACATATACAAACTGCCAAATGTTGGTCTTCCTCAGTGCAGTGCGGTCTCGGAAACATTAGTAATAACCTCAGTCCACCTCTTCATTCAGACTCGTTCATGTCACCTCGTCGCAGACATGCCCTCCGCAGTTGGTGAGCAGCCGTTGTCGTGATCGTCATGCGAGAGATGGTTTTCGTCCACTCGCAGTCGCCTAAAATAATGATAACTATTAAGAGGCGAAAAAACCCACTTTATCCATGAATAGTTTTCGTCACCAACATTGGTTCACGAATTCAAACCGCGTAGCCTCTCACGCCAGCGTGTGCTCCACACCCCCCACTCATGAACGGTGTTCACTCTGCCCACGTGTCCACAACCCCCACTCAGGAACGGTGTTCACTCTGCTCGCGTGTCCTCCACCACCCCCACTCATGAACGGTGTTCACTCTGCTCGCGTGTCCTCCACAACCCCCACTCATGAACGGTGTTCACTCTGCTCGCGTGTCCTCCACAACCCCCACTCATGAACGGTGTTCACTCTGCTACGCGTGTCCTCCACAACCCCCACTCATGAACGGTGTTCACTCTGCCCACGTGTTCTCCACAACCCCCACTCATGAACGGTGTTCACTCTGCTCGCGTGTTCTCCACAACCCCCACTCATTAACGGTGTTCACTCTGCCCACGTGTTCTCCACAACCCCCACTCATGAACAGTGTTCACTCTGCTCACGTGTTCTCCACAACCCCCACTCATGAACAGTGTTCACTCTGCTCGCGTGTTCTCCACAACCCCCACTCATGAACAGTGTTCACTCTGCTCACGTGTTCTCCACAACCCCCACTCATGAACAGTGTTCACTCTGCCCACGTGTTCTCCACAACCCCCACTCATGAACGGTGTTCACTCTGCTCACGTGTCCTCCACAACCCCCACTCATGAACGGTGTTCACTCTGCTCACGTGTTCTCCACAACCCCCACTCATGAACGGTGTTCACTCTGCCCACGTGTTCTCCACAACCCCCACTCATGAACAGTGTTCACTCTGCCCACGTGTTCTCCACAACCCCCACTCATGAACGGTGTTCACTCTGCCCACGTGTGTTCCACCACCCCCACTCATGAACGGTGTTCACTCTGCCCACGTGTTCACCACAACCCCCACTCATGAACGGTGTTCACTCTGCCCACGTGTGCTCCACCACCCCCACTCATGAACGGTGTTCACTCTGCTCGCGTGTTCTCCACAACCCCCACTCATGAACAGTGTTCACTCTGTCCACGTGTCCTCCACAACCCCCAATCATGAACAGTGTTCACTCTGCCCACGTGTCCTCCACAACCCCCACTCATGAACGGTGTTCACTCTGCCCACGTGTTCTCCACAACCCCCACTCATGAAGAGTGTTCACTCTGCCCACGTGTTCTCCACAACCCCCACTCATGAACAGTGTTCACTCTGTCCACGTGTCCTCCACAACCCCCACTCATGAACAGTGTTCACTCTGCCCACGTGTCCTCCACAACCCCCACTCATGAACGGTGTTCACTCTGCTCACGTGTTCACCACCACCCCCACTCATGAACAGTGTTCACTCTGTCCACGTGTCCTCCACAACCCCCACTCATGAAGAGTGTTCACTCTGCTCACGTGTTCTCCACAACCCCCACTCATGAAGAGTGTTCACTCTGCTCACGTGTTCTCCACAACCCCCACTCATGAACGGTGTTCACTCTGCTCACGTGTTCACCACCACCCCCACTCATGAACAGTGTTCACTCTGCTCACGTGTTCACCACCACCCCCACTCATGAACAGTGTTCACTCTGCTCACGTGTTCTCCACAACCCCCACTCATGAAGAGTGTTCACTCTGCTCACGTGTTCTCCACAACCCCCACTCATGAACAGTGTTCACTCTGCTCACGTGTTCACCACCACCCCCACTCATGAACAGTGTTCACTCTGCCCACGTGTTCTCCACAACCCCCACTCATGAACGGTGTTCACTCTGCCCACGTGTCCTCCACAACCCCCACTCATGAACGGTGTTCACTCTGCCCACGTGTTCAACACAACCCCCACTCATGAACGGTGTTCACTCTGCCCACGTGTCCTCCACAACCCCCACTCATGAAGAGTGTTCACTCTGCTCACGTGTTCTCCACAACCCCCACTCATGAAGAGTGTTCACTCTGCTCACGTGTTCTCCACAACCCCCACTCATGAACGGTGTTCACTCTGCTCACGTGTTCACCACCACCCCCACTCATGAACAGTGTTCACTCTGTCCACGTGTCCTCCACAACCCCCACTCATGAAGAGTGTTCACTCTGCTCACGTGTTCTCCACAACCCCCACTCATGAAGAGTGTTCACTCTGCTCACGTGTTCTCCACAACCCCCACTCATGAACGGTGTTCACTCTGCTCACGTGTTCACCACCACCCCCACTCATGAACAGTGTTCACTCTGCTCACGTGTTCACCACCACCCCCACTCATGAACAGTGTTCACTCTGCTCACGTGTTCTCCACAACCCCCACGCATGAAGAGTGTTCACTCTGCTCACGTGTTCTCCACAACCCCCACTCATGAACAGTGTTCACTCTGCTCACGTGTTCACCACCACCCCCACTCATGAACAGTGTTCACTCTGCCCACGTGTTCTCCACAACCCCCACTCATGAACGGTGTTCACTCTGCCCACGTGTCCTCTACAACCCCCACTCATGAACGGTGTTCACTCTGCCCACGTGTTCAACACAACCCCCACTCATGAACGGTGTTCACTCTGCCCACGTGTTCTCCACAACCCCCACTCATGAACAGTGTTCACTCTGTCCACGTGTTCTCCACAACCCCCACTCATGAACGGTGTTCACTCTGCCCACGTGTCCATCACCACCCCCACTCATGAACGGTGTTCACTCTGCTCACGTGTTCTCCACAACCCCCACTCATGAACGGTGTTCACTCTGCACACGTGTTCACCACCACCCCCACTCATGAACAGTGTTCACTCTGCTCACGTGTTCACCACAACCCCCACTCATGAACAGTGTTCACTCTGCTCACGTGTTCACCACCACCCCCACTCATGAACAGTGTTCACTCTGCCCACGTGTTCTCCACAACCCCCACTCATGAACGGTGTTCACTCTGCTCACGTGTTCTCCACAACCCCCACTCATGAACGGTGTTCACTCTGCTCACGTGTTCTCCACACCCCCCACTCATGAAGAGTGTTCACTCTGCTCGCGTGTTCTCCACAACCCCCACTCATGAACGGTGTTCACTCTGCACACGTGTTCACCACCACCCCCACTCATGAACAGTGTTCACTCTGCTCACGTGTTCACCACAACCCCCACTCATGAACGGTGTTCACTCTGCCCACGTGACCTCCACCACCCCCACTCATGAACGGTGTTCACTCTGCCCACGTGTTCACCACCACCCCCACTCATGAACGGTGTTCACTCTGCACACGTGTTCACCACAACCCCCACTCATGAACGGTGTTCACTCTGCCCACGTGTTTCCACAACCCCCACTCATGAACGGTGTTCACTCTGACCACGTGTTCTCCACAACCCCCACTCATGAACGGTGTTCACTCTGCTCACGTGTTCTCCACACCCCCCACTCATGAACGGTGTTCACTCTGCCCACGTGACCTCCACCACCCCCACTCATGAACGGTGTTCACTCTGCCCACGTGTCCACAACCCCCACTCATGAACGGTGTTCACTCTTCCCACGTGTCTTCCACAACCCCCACTCAGGCACGGTGTTCACTCTGCTCGCGTGTGCAATGAGCCTTGTCCGGGTGCTCGGGTCCATAATGTTCAACTACATTTACAAGGAAAGCCTGGAGCTGCCCTTCTGCCTGCCCTTCTTGATCTCTGGCATCGTGGGAGCCACCATCCTCCTCCCACTTGGGTGAGTGTCACCGCTTCGACTGCGCCGGAGCGTGGGCGGTTTAACCCCTCACCTCAATCGGTCAATCGACCTTTGTTTCACGTGCCGATATCGCCCTCAATGAAGTCCGTGCATCGGTCGGTGTCACGTTGCAACGGATCGGGAAACGGTTACAGGGGGCGTAGAGCAGCAGGAGGAATGGGAAAAGAAACGTATCACCACCTCAGCGGTGAATTGCAACGGTGCGCAACGAATAGCATAAAGGGTAAGTAGTAATTACAAATAAATAAAAAATGGAATGTAGATTTTGTTTTATGTTATATTAAATGACATTTTATGGGAAGGCAAGTCTGAACGGCCCCGTTTCCTCATGCCACTGCTGGCAGAAGAGCCTTCACCAGAGGGAGCTAGAGGACAGTCCGCTATGGATCGCATTTGGCCTACTCTTCCTCGCTGGCCACACACCTTGGAAGAGGTGGGAGTTGCCCAACACTTCACCCCCACCGAGCGTGACCTGCCAATCAACTAAGGGGCCGTTCATAAATTACGTCACGCACCTGGAGAGGGGGTCAGACATTTGTGACAGTGTGACGAGGGGGGGGGGGGGTTGAAAAATGTGACGTCACATCAAAATGCGCAACTTTAAATAAAGACAACACGTTCCACTTAATTAAATATACTTTTTTATGTTTTCTCCTACAACATCAGAGTGCAGCGGCACATTAAATACGCACTACAATGACAATAGTTTAAAGCGATTTGAAGCATGTTTTATTTTTGGGGGGAGGCAGAGCTTTGTGACGTCATATTTGAGGGGGGGGTCTGACTTTTTGTGACGCCGTGTGACGAGGGGAGGGGAGGGGGCAAAAATCGTACAAAATCGCGTGACGTCATTTATGGACGGCCCCTAAGTGGACAGAGGTGGAGCCGGGGGAGAAGAGGATTTAAGAAACGTTGCCGTGCCGGGAGAACGAACCCAGCGACTGTTAATCCAGTGCTCGAACCGCATCCACATTCATCGTATCACGCACCGAACATACGTTCCGTTGCAGGGTTGTTTGGTGGAAGAAGGGGCAGTGGCGGCGAACGGAGCCTTCTTCTCCGCAGCAGAGAACGTGAATGCCTTTTCCTCGCCATTTCCTAAAAGCCCCAAGACGCCAGAGGGCTGCCAACAGACGGAGCGATTAAAGTTGGAATGCGTAAAGAGTTGATGCGTTTCTTGCACCGAGGCTTGTGCGTTAACTCGGGGAATGCTTGCAACAGGTATAACATGGAAGTATGAATGTAATAGTGAACTGCAGTCTGTACCGATGTGAATCGCCTCCGATCCTAGGTTAGTAATATTAAATCAATTGTACATGGGGGGGGGGGGGGGGGTGTGAATATAATCCTATTTAAGTGAAGGTGTCATCGGTGTTTTGTAATTTTCTACTGTTCCGGTAATATTAAGATGTACACAAGCATGCACAACAAATGTTAAGTTTGTTTACGAGCGGTTATACAGGGACTCCTCTACTTACGAACATTTGACTTACGAACTTTCAAAGGTACAAATATTTCATATGTCCAGTTGCCTGTTCGGACCGATAATCGTAAGTTCAAACGCCGTACAATAGATGGTGGTGGTGGCATCTAAATCTACAAAACACGAAAGAATCAGAGGCATTTACATCTACAGGAGATTATACAACTTTTAAAGCCATTCCCCGTGTTTAGTGTACATGCAGTACGCCATGTTTTGGAATCGATGAGAGTAAAGTTGGACTTACGAACAAATCGACTTTCGAACAGACCTCTGGAACCCCACTAGTTTGTAAGTAGAGGAGTCCCTGTATTAAGCATTGTGCAAAACTGTCCTCTTTAAACAATGCACTTCAATTTCGATTTAAAGCTTTCGCGACTGCAGGGATTCATCTTCTTGGTTCTTTCGGTAAAGTCACGTAGAAGGAAAATAATAAAAATAAAACATAATAAAATACAATTCTCACGACGTTTCAGCCACAACGCAAGCAGCCGTCCTCAGGTGAAGAACAGGTCTGTCGGAAAGACAGACCTGGCCGAAACGTCGTGAGAATTGTATTTTATTGTTTTATTTTTATTTTCCTTCTACGTGACTTTACCGAAAGAACCAAGAAGAACAATGCACTTCAATCAATATTTGAAACATGCGCCAATGACTTCATGCATGCGTGAATATCCGAAACCAGGGTTTCCCAAACTCCAGTCCTCGCCACGCATCACGTGCTACGTCTTTCTGCGTTCACCAATGCACTCCACGTTGAAATTAAAAGTATTTGGCTGTTGCTATGAATGTCCACGTGATAAGCCACTGTGGGTGAGCTGCTACCATTTGTGATGGACAGGTCGCTTATGATAAAGAGCTGCATCGGCTCAGTGAGCCTTACCTGGTGAAATAAAAAAAAAAAGTTTAAATCAGAAATAATTCCCCGAGCCTGATGAGTTGTAAACACACATCCCAACGCAGTTTCTTGCCGAGGCGTCTTGAACTGATGGTCTGTCCGCCAATGATGGAACAAGAAAGTAAAAAGAACCCACATTAAATATTGTCCTGCACTTAATTTGGATGTCAGCTCTGACACTTTAAATATCAGTTTGACCCACGCAATGGACATGACTGTCACATGCAGGACAGGTGGGGAAGTGCATCTCCCTTTTACTGCGGACCAGGGGTCGCTTGATGGGACCTCGAGAGGCAGCAGCCTCACGATTGTCCTCGTGGTGTTGCAACGCTGTGGGAGATCCGAAAGGACACTTCATCACACGAGACGAGGCTGATGGCGGCAATTTTAGGAAATAACAGGGGGAGGGAAAACGACAGCAGAAACAACACCAACGACTGAAGAGAAAATATCAACCAGAAAGTAAAACTATCCCTTGCGAAAGCAAACACGCAGTTGTGAGCTCTTGGCGGAATTTCTAGATCCCCAGCAAGGTTTTACAAACCGGTCACACCAGTTATCGACAGAAACAACAACAACAAAGGGTATAAGTGTGTTTATTACAAACTACTGTACAAATCACAAAGCATAACCATCGCAATCCGCCGTATCACGTGTTTTACATCTACACCATAAATTAGTGGGTGTTGCGGATAGTATATATATTTTTTTCTTTTTTGCACAAGTAACACGTCTACAAAAACAGCGGTTTACATTGCGGGTAAACGGCGAATTCAGATGGCACACCGCGTGTTTTAACACTGTGCAGCATATACAAAGACCAGGTCGTGGCAAGCGCCGTGCACGGGATTTGGAATTTTGCCCATCACAAAATGTAATAAATGTAATCAGTCAGCGAAGGGTCATACAAAACGACCGTTACATATTGGATGTCTTGTCATGGTGGCAATAATTACAGCACGTCATGTAGTGGTGTAATATTTGTTTATTTAAGCCCTTGAAAATGAGCTTTACTCGGGGAAAATCAACTTTGATGCTGACAAGCCGTGGTCCGACTTGGACAATAAAACATTTCCAAGCCGAGAAATGCACCATGCGGATTCCAGTATCTTCACGTTATACATTTTAATGTGGGTTAACATTTGCATGGGATTAATCGTTTGTGAATTTTAACAACGTATATTCACTTATAATATATATTCGAAGTTAACACTTGTTTTGTAAAATAAAAAGATGAACAACTTTCAAGCAAACAGTCCTGACAGATGTTGGGGTGTTTCTTTATTATTTGAATTTACGTTAAGGCAAACTGGTGGCTTTATCACATGAAACATTTACCATCTTTAGGCCATTAAAAATAAATCCTAGGCACTTAATTTGAAATTCAGATGGGTGGTGAAAAAACAATTAGGTTGAAACAGGGAAAGGATTCGCTTAGTTTGCGAATGATTAAAGCTAAAATAATTGTGTAAGTGGCAAATTGGCATGCGCGTTCTAACTTTGACAGGCATTCATTGTAAAAGTGAGTGCGTTGAGCCGTGAAAATAACTTGAAAAAAAATAACAAAAAATTACATTTTGTTTACTTAATTCTGCGAATTTTGATGAGGCAGCCTGAAAAAAGGCACGGTAGTGTTCGACAATCTAAAACAAAGCTGAAAGGTACCATTGCAATCAACAGTTCAGTTTTCCACAGTAAACACTCAACATATGAAGCAAATATCAGGCACAGACTTTGTTGTTTAAATTCAATTACAAACACACGCCCTATAGTGGGTATTAATGGGTAGAATGTGGTGTAACAGTAGTTCGTATCTCGTCGCCTATATACAGGGACTCCTCTACTTACGAACATTCGACTTACAAACTTTCAGAGATAGTAACAAACCTCATAATATTCATATGTCCAGTTGCCTGGTCGAACTGAGAGTCGTAAGTTCAACCGCGGCGCAATAGACGGTGCGCCGGTGGTGGTGGCATCTATATCTGACGAAAATAAAGAACCGGCGCGTCATCTACATTCACAAATTACACAACTTTTAAAGCCATTCCTTGTGTTTAGTGTACATGCCAGACATGTTTGAAATAGACAGAAGTAAAGTTGGACCTATGAATAAATCGACTTACAAACAGACCTCTGGAACCTAACTCGTTCGTAAGTTGAGGAGTCCCTGCACCCATTTTCCATGGTTCATCCGAGACGTGCTAGCACAGAGCACACGTGGCACAGGTGGTTTTACTATTGGCTACCCTACCAACGAGCCAGGACCAAACGGCAATGCGCTCGCCTTTACCAAATATCTGAATCTGGCTCGGGGGCCAAGCAGGGCCAGGCACGAGGTTTATTATCTACATTTGTATCATGTGATATCGTTTACGTGCATCCCGAGTCACTTACAACACGTGACCCGCATTAACACGACCCCGGAGTTTTGTAGCAGGAAATCAACCTGGCAACTCTTTGACCCATTTTGGGCTGGTTTGGCAACTGGCCCCGCCACAGCTCGGTTGGACAATGGAAAAAATATATTTATGACCAAGTCAATCCTATAATCTTCACAACATTTCTATAGCAGGAGCCAGTTATTTTTCCAGAGGGCAACTGCTGTTGAATTATGCAGCATTGGATGACATCAAAATGTCTACATGTGACGTGAGAGCAACGTGAAAAGGATTGACATTACACCTATTAATAAAAAAAATACAGATACAACCAATATGTCTGTGAATGGAGGTCACATTCTCTCTCTGATTTAGACCACTAATCATGTGGCATGCCAACTAATTTTCATTTTCTACAAAAAGTAGATTTTTTTTATTAAACTGACATTAAACTGACATTGAAACCGTTTAGCAGTTGTGATGGCCCATTACATTAATTGTATAAGTGCTGTAATTGTCTATGCCATTACATTGAAAGCTTCTGTGATGTGGTCTTATTCAAAAATCACCACAAAGGCACAGTTTAATGCTTTAATACTGTAATTAACCTACTATTAAATTAACTAAGACAAACCAATTTAAATTAAAAACTACAACTTCATATCACTGATATCTCATTTCGGTGTGTCTACATTATAACAGCATTTGCTATCACGGACGTTTTACCAACATGTACTTCAAACTTTGCAAGTCGCGTTGGTGTAAGATCCTGCAGGTTTGTGCATTCCTAAGAATTTTATTACACACCGAACATTGGTTTTTTTTAATCTACGAGTTTGTTTGAAGAGGTAGATTCCAGAGCATTTTTTTTCATTAATTGTACCGATTCATCATTCATTCACAAGATTCACATCCCTTATTCTTGCAGCAAAACGATTATTGATGCAATGTCAAATGAACCCAGAACCGCACCGCACGTTGCATTCATAATTCCACAAATTAACTGGTGAAATTAAGTCGGTGCGAAAAATAAAATTACACTGCTTTGCCAATTTGCGCACAAAGCTAAACAATCACATATAACCGAGGGCGTGTTTGAGTGCGTTGTGTAATCTGGTAATGCTGTATAATGTCTCAGCATGGCTACAAAGCAATCAGGGGTTATGCATAAAAATGATTAATCATGGTCACACGTTTATAAGAGCATGCTATGGACAGCTGGGATGATCAGTCTAATAGCTGAGCCTCCTGAAGGCAGGAAAACCACCCCCACTAGCCAAGCCCAGCGCGACGCGGCTGATGATTTCGATGTCACCAAGGCCCCTGCCAGCCCTGCCCCCCTCAATGACTTCCCATACAGTAGCACACGTGGGAACAGAGGCGAGACACATTTTGTATCCCCAACTATTCTTGTGTTATTCGATTAGCCAACGAATTGAATAAAAAGATTCACCAATATAATATTCGTGCTTTGTTATTCACTCAATAAATCATGTAACTTTTTATTTGAGGATGACAGTGCAGTGAGTTTAACGGCTGAGGTGCTTCTGTCAAGACTTCTCATGTAGTGCCTGAATTATAACGAACACAACTCACCAATACCTTGCCACAGGGTTCCCTCTGCCTGCTTCAAATTGATGCTTTGTGATGACAATTAAAAGGTGCAAAGGGCCTTCAAAGTGCAAAGCTGACCTGAGCCAGAACACTGTGGCTTAGGGGCAATTAGTGTGTGCTCAGACACCAGTCATCTGAAAAGTTAAAGTAATCACTTTAACTGTATGCAGTGGGTGAAATCCAAAGCTATGCTAACTAGTTGCAAATAATTGGCTTCAGTCTGATCACTGGTATGTGGAATCATGCTCCCTTGGGTGATGCTGCTATCTCACCAAAAAATGTTGTCCCGCGGTCCAACGATTAGTATGGAGAAACTCCGATCATTCTTAAATTGCCGGCAAGCTTAGACGCAGCAAAAATCTTTCAATTTAAACAAAGTAGCGAATCACAGATCTGACTTGAAGGAAAGCCCCCATCCCAGCTTTTCCTGAAGCAAGTCACTACTTTAAATGGTCATCTGATTCAATGGAATTGCCGAGTTGTGTTACTCATAGCTTAATACTAGTATATAATGTAAATGTATTTCACGTGCAATGTGGAAAATACAGGAATTTCTTGGAATGTAATGAAATTGAAGAGGGTTTCCACTAAAGTAACGTGATTGCAACAGTTGGACTGAGCGTGCTGCCATGCGTAATTTGCATATGCAGTTGTGGGACAAATAAAGTCAAAGATGTACTTATCTTGTTACAAATGGGACAGAAATTGTCCCCAAAAATAATTATGTAATTTCACTCCGGGTTACACAACCATCCACTAACGTTAAAGAGAAAAAGTGTAACTTCGTATGCAGTCACAACTGAATAACTTTGTTCAACGTCAACTCTAGTTACTGGCCTGAAGTCTACGTCTGATGTATCCACAGCATGATGAACGGGTCCCAAAAGTACATCAAAATCCCTGAATGCCCTTGAATGGCTTTGTGAAAAAGCACATTGGGGAAAATAATGAGCCATCGTCCCATTGCGCGCCATACAAATGTGGATTGCCACCCCATTTCAATCTCTGTGCATCGTAAATCTTCCTTCGAAAAATATCCTGAAGCAGAAGATCAGCGCTGGATAGTCACATTTGCAACTTTGATCCGTGCCTGTGCCGTATCGATAGCTCAATGTCAATGTGCTATGTTATTGAGGGACAACTGCTGTGTGGTGTTATCTTGGTGTGGTCTGAGACCGTTTTGGTGTCGTTGTTGCTGCCTTGCTCAAGCTTGATAACTCGGACTTGTATAATTAAAGAATGACATCTGTGAAAGAGCTTAATAGGTCATCGGATTCCTCCTGCAGTCCAAATAAATATTCCGATTCTCATGAACCCGAGCTGTGGTAGGCTTTTATGGTTCGACCGTATAGCTCTGCCGATGTGTTTGTGGGTTGTACTACATGCTATTTAGGCATATGTCCGACGTTTCGGTTCCATGGGGCTGGGGAGCTTCAGCGGAAAACTGAAAGCTCTCAGCACGTGGAGCGAAATGTCCGGGGACACCGTGCCGAACGATGAAAAGCAGTTTTTGCTGCGGACTTCATTGAAGCAAAATCGTGAGTGGGGAGCAGATATTAGCATATGACTTCTGAAATACAATTTGCTCCTCCTCAGAATGTTTATCGATTTGTTAAGTCACTCGTTTGTGATTTCGCAGCGTAAAAATGGGGCACCTTTTATAGCTATTCAAATGTAAAAAAAAAAATGACCCGATTTGCTGTGCATGCTTACAAATCTATAAACTGGACAAGTGTAGCGTGAAAGCACCTATGAAAGGGTTTCACATGTCTGAGCGACTGAATTCCGACACCTCCTGGCCTCGGATACGTGGCACAAAGTGGCTTTGTCCAATTCCTATCTCTAGCTCACTTTCCTCACAGTGCCATTTTACAGCCTCGGAACAGCTACCATTACGGAAATAATTTTAACGTCAAAAAAACGTTGACGGTGAAAACGTACAATTACCCTCAGTACATCAACGTAGAACACGAACGAACGATGATAATAATGCATTCGACACCCATGCTGAAGCGGAGGCACCTACAGAATAATAAAATGTTGTGGCATCGAATGTGCTTTGACATCAGAAATTAATTTAATTAGCCTGCCATTATAGTGGTAGGGAAAGCACACTGCTGCGGTAAACACATGGAACGTATGAGTGGATGTTCTCACAAAAGTGTAAGCAAAAACATCAATACACCTGATGTTGAGTACAATTATCAGATGGTAATGGTGACATTCACATGTTTTTTAAATTTAAGAATGCAAAATGTCAATGCCCGATAGAAAACAAAATAGGAGGGAAAAATAAATTCCAGTTTAAAGGTCATCTTTTAATTATTTTTATAAATAAATTCTTTTAAAAAAAGTTAAACCTCCAAATATTCAAACAGTGGCATTTTCTTAACAAAAGCGAAAAAAAAATCCTGTCAGTCTCATGGCTGCCGTTAATCAAGAATTAAATAAAGCGACGAGGTTAAATTAGAAAGGCCGAGTGTTCGCGAGCAAAAAAAAAATGAGTGCTGCATAGGCAACAACGGTGCAGCGAAGCGAACAATGGAGCAAAGAGCGCGTTGCTGAAAATGCGGCCAAGACGTGGCACAAACGCGGACAGGTGTATCGGACAATGGATAAAAACGCGCGTCGTTGAAAATGCGGCCAAGACGTGGCACAAACGCGGAGAGGCCGAAAACCTCATTTTTCTTGGAATCGCACGGCTACGTTGCACTTGAATCCCTTCAGCAAAAACCCATCGCAGGCAGATGACGGTCCCAATCACTCAGCTGTGAGGGTGCAATTCAAAGGGCAAATTGGGGGTGGGGGGGGGGCATGCATCAACTGCACACAGCCACCGCTCGGTCAACAGGAGAAGATCTGGCGACGTCATGATGGCAGTACGGTAGTCTATCTCTCCCAGATGCTGATAATATATATACACACACACACACAAGAATGAGAATATGAAGAGTCTGTGTATATATTCTTCAAGAGCGAGTTTTGGAATCATTTAGTGAGAATTAAGAAAGACAAGAATACGAAAATAATAATAGAATAAAATGTTGAATATCAGAAAAGCTTTGTAACAATAAACTAATTCCAAGCACTTTCATCCAGTTACTTTTTTGCATACGTGTCTTATAAATATAGTTTGACAACTTATTTAGCTGTGCAACTCATTCGTATTTATGGAATGATGACCAGCGTGTTTTTTATCACGCAATAATCTGTATAAATCTTTTTTTTTTTGCACGAGACACACGGGCAATATAATATTCCCAAAGCATGGTGCCCTGTTTAGGAAATAAACCTGTCAAATATGCAACAACAATACAATTATAATGTAGGGTAAATCCTCACTCAAATTGCACCGAAATACCAACAGGAGAAGTCTTGGCTATGATTTTTGGTCTTTTTCCTCCTCTGGTTTGTCCTGTAAGAGTGGGACGAGGGATTCCCACGATGACAAACACTGCAGAGACAGCACGAGCAAAACACGGTCACCTTTGCAAATGATGCAAAGCAGGGCATGAAACCACCATCCACCTCCTCACAGCAGATATTTCAAAACACGGTCCATCGACGTGCAACAGGTGAAGACACCAACTAATTAAAAGCTCATCAAATGTGGCACCAACACAGCCTTAGAACAGAAAAATACGCGCAATCGGAAAATAATGGGACGACGTTTTGGCCAACGGTCCTTCTTCAGTGTAAAGACGGAGCGGAGAGTGACCGACATAGAATTTGAAATCAGCCGGTGTCAACAAGATGCAATTAACACATTACGATAACATCAGTGATATGACGTACGCCTACGTCACCGGAACGGAATCGGCACAAAAAATTAAATACCTTCATCGGTAACGAGGCTCCCACAAAGCCATGCGCAGAACATGTGGCAGTTTGGCGCCAGCTATCACAAAATATAATCGATCACTACACTTCTCGACAATAAAAACAACAAAATCTTTAAAAACAGCGGCGCTATGCCTCTCTGAATAAATTTAATGCCGAACCGCTCGCGCGTTCCGAGATTCAGCGGTGAACAGGACACCCACCTTGCAACGTGCAGACATCTCGGAACGGCAAAGGGTTAAAGCTTGATAGGACAGGAAGAGATCTGGGTTTAGGGGCCACGCTCACCTCCTGGTAGTATCGCATGTTCCTATCCGAGTGGCTGACGAGCAGCTCCCGGAGGTCCCTGCGTTTGTTGCGCTGCCAGCGCTCCCAGTCCGCCTTGAGGTTGGCGTCCGCGCACTCCATACGGTCGTGCAGCTTGTCCACGTCTTCCGCGGACTGCGCACACACACGAGCGGGCGGGCGGGCAGGCGCCACACGAACAACCGCAGTCATGCCGGACCCGACGGCAACATCCCCCCGTAGCGTCGCACAAGCGGCCAAAGAAGAGAAGAGCAATGAGATGGGCTTCGTGCAGAAGCGAGACGGCACATGGGATCGCAAGGCCGCCGTGCACTGTGGAAGACACTGCGGGGAGAGGCCTACATCCAGCAGTTCATAGATCACGGCCGATTAGCACGGTTGGCTAAGTATGGTGCGAAAGAAGTTCAACATACATACATGATAGTGATGATGATGATGTTTAAACCTAGCTCACTTCATGATAATGCTGTGTTAGACACCATTACTTGAGCAATAAATACGTGAGTGGCCACCAAGGATCTCATGATCACAACATTCACCAGAGACAAACATGTCACAAATTAGTAAAAAACTGATATCTATAGAAACGCTCCTGTTGCAAATAAATGATAAACCACCATTAAGGACAACCATGTTTTGAAAATAGTTGGTATACGGATGATGACTAACGATAGTTTTAAAAATGCATGCAGACTAAAATATAGGGCAAATTGATAGGAATTAAAATTATAAACAAGTGCAAGTAGAATTTTTTTTTATTTAAAGCTTTCGTGACTGCAGGGATTCATATTCTTGGTTATTTCGGTAAAGTCACGTAGAAGGGAAATAATAAAATAATAAAACTATAAAACTGTAAAAATTCTCACGACGTTTCGACTGCAACACAAGCAATCGAAACGTCGTGAGAATTTTTATTGTTTAATATTTGTATTATTTTATTATTTCCCTTCTACGTGACTTTACCGAAAGAACCAGGAATAAATGCAAGTAGCTTTGTAGCCAAAATCTAATTTAGTTCCGTGTGTCACAAACACATTGACATGATCTAAGCAGCTGGCATAATGCATACAGTGTTTCGTATTATCGCGTGCGTGCGCATACAAGCATACGGAGGGAAAGACATCTGCTTCGCCAAATGGTTGTGAAAGAGGCCAACTTCCTAAACATAATGAGTCACACAATTTACACAGATCCACCTCGTTGGAAGTCAACTGTACGTCGTTTAAGTGCAATTCCCAATGGTGGTGGGGGGGGTGTCGGGTGGATGGGGGAAATATGCACAATGTTATTACCCCCTCCTTGTCTTCTTTCCTGCTTGCCAGAGACTCCACCTTGGTCTCAAATTCCGCCTGGATTTGGTCTCTCCTGCGCAGCACAGCCTGAAAAACACGGCCGCCGTACCAAACCCAAGAAACACAGTGATGCTCTGGAAAATGTCAACCCTGTGGAACAGGTACTAACGGCATTGGTAATGATGATTTGCAGCTCCGATTGGCAAAGTTGGCTACGTACGGTGCGAAAGAAGTTCAACGTACATACATACAAGTAAGTGCATATTATATGTCCAGGTTGAAGTTTGTGAGCCATGTGATAGTTTCGGGGGCAGCGGGACTAACACTATCCAGTCCGCCGGAGAGTGGATGAATAATACAGCTGTTCGCGATACGTACTGATGCCATTGTTTCGACCGATGTTTCTAGCTTTTTTTTATTAAAAAAAATAAACATGCTTGCGAAACCTGAATAAGTTTGTACAAATGTGACGGGCAAAAAAAGGAATCAATATCTTAAATTGAAAACCATGAACCCCCAAATCGTGACAAAGAGGGGGTGGAAGGGGTGTGGGGGGAGGGAATCGTTTAGCAGATGGAAGAGCGACGTGGCGACCACCTGCGCGGTGTCGGCGTAGAGCGAGTACTCCCGCAGCGTGGGTAGCACCTCCTGGCTCGAGTGCAGCATGAGCCGCTCCAGCGCCTTGGAGCAGCTGGCGAGGCAGGTGTGCACGCCGTGCAGAGGGCGCGACAGCTCCGCCTCCTCGTGCACGGCCCAGCTCGCGTAGAGCGGCGCGTACTCGCACAGCTCCGCCTGGTACTCTGCGGACGTGGCGCGCGCGCGGCAATCGCGTACGAGCTATAAAAGATGGCACGAGCAACGCGGCGCGATACTTGAGGCGTGGTTTTGAGCCCGACGCGTGTGCGCGAACAGTCATGCCCTTCTTTTTGTTAAGGCGCTCTTCCACCTCCAACCCAGCTTATATATAAGCTCCTAGCTTGGCAGTGTCTCATTCTTCACCTGAAGACGGCTGCTTGCGTTGTAGCCGAAATGTCGTGAGAATTATTTTATTTTATTATGTTTTATTTTTATTATTTTATTACTTCCCTTCTACGTGACTTTACCGAAAGAACCAAGAAGAGTCATGCCCCTGTTCCACTGCGACATCCGAGCCGCACTAAGGCGTGGTTTAGTCCACTGGCTAGTTGCCATGCCAGAACCCAAACATTGATGAGCTCGCTTCGCAAGACATCTGAAACGGGCCAATCAGGGTCACGGGCAGGGCAAACGATGAGTTTATCGTGTCACGTCAGTCACTACACTGCGAGGGGCAAAGTGTCACCGTGTCGTCTACCTCTGTCTCGGCTCGTTCACTTGCATTTGACGTTCAAGGCACGGCTCCGCTTCTTCAGTGAGCAATCTGGCGCATTCTGGGCTGCACGGGGCTGACTCGGCACCGCGCCGGCATGGTGGTACATTGGAAATAATGTTCCATAAATGGGACCAATAATATTTGTCAACATTATTGCAGCAGAACATCTCTACAAACACTCTCAGATCCAGTAATTGGCACTTGAGTTTTCAGTTACCGTGGCATCGTCAAAACCGCCTTTGCTATAATGACACCAACGTTCTGGAATGGTGCGATTGAATCTACAACTGTTATAGATGGACTTGGATCAATTACAGCAGACGCGAGACTCGCTCGCTTACGAGTTGTGAAAGTAACAACTCACCGGACTGCTCCTTAAGGATCCTCTGCGCTATCCTCTCCAGCGTGCCGAGCTTCTGGCCAAAGGCTTCCACAAAGTCGGACATCGCCGTGAACTCGGGCGGCCGTGCCTTGGGCCGTCCGCCAGCACCGGCCACGAGTCTCACCGACTCGCTAACGCGGCTCAGCAGGCTGGCGCCGCGCCTCTGCAGAGCCAGGTCCTGGTCGGCAAATGACGCATTGGCCCGGCGTTACCGCCACAGCAATCGACGAACTTGATTTACAGGCAGGCGAGAGCCCGTCGAGACTCGAGTGTTGGTCGTTTGCCATTACCACCGCTGCCGTCGCTGCAATCGCTTCATTTATAGCCATTCGTGACCAGAATGATGACCTTCGCCATTTATCACTTAGGCTTACTCGTGTTTCCGTTTTTAGTTATGTGAAGAGCAATTTGCCCTGTCGGTGTACAGAACTTTATAAATCCACTGCTCTATGAGATCCTCTACCCATGGGGGTTATTTTCGCATACTTCACCCGCACCTCCGATTAGCACGGTTGGCTACGTGCGATGCAAAAGAAGTTCAACATACCACGTTGCTCAGTGGAGGTTGGTGGTGGTGGGGGGAGCATAGATGGATGAGCACCTTAGTACAATGCAACCAATGGATTTTACTGACCTGTCCTTTGTTACCATGTAGCCCTCCAGCTTATAACACCTGTTATGGATGACGGAAGCTCATCTAAGCGTAGATCTGATGAAATTGCCGAATTCTGGCCGCATTGGTCAAAGCGCTGTGGCAGAACATATTGGACTCAAAATTGTGAGGTTGCGCGATCAAATCGAGGTCAGGGGGTCAACTCAACCTATTAACCTTTCAGAAAGGAATAAAACAAGTATGACCATGTGCTCCGTCAACATCGGCTGTACAGTTCAGGATTACTTGTCAAATGCTTGAAATCTATGCAACACGTTCAATTGTTTTACACATTTTATTGACCGTGAAAGGATTATGGACCGGGTGAACCCTTCACCAGGATTTTAAGACAAAAAGGCCGGAACATTATTTTATTATTATTATATTAATTGTAGGCAAACTCTGGTTGATCAGGTATAAAGTGATGTTCAGGCTGTTACCTTGGCTGTGAGAAATGAATGGAAGTAGCTGCTGAAGGAGAGAGTGGGGTGGTTAGCCAGCCGGTTCAGGAACTTATCCAGGGCTTTCTGCCGCGTCGTCACAAAATCCTCCGTGAAACGATCCACGACTCCCTTCATCACAAACTTCTCCGGCAGCGGCTGCAGGGACAAACAAAAATTGCCTACAAAAACGATCCGACCAGTTTTTTTTTAACCCTTTCCAAATCCAAGTTCTTGCATTAATTCATCTGTCCATCGGCCGGCCTTGATCATCAGCCATCATCCCTTCCAGCAACGCCTCCTGTGGTCCACTTATCGAAACAAATTGGGTTATGTCAGTAACCTGCGTATGTTTTCTAATCCATGCGTTGCTCTGTCTCTCAATGCAGTTACAAGCATGCATCTCTCTCCCACGCTTGTCTGTGCCCTTGTTAGCTTTTGTCCCATGTTGTTTGCTTATAAAATATAATACCGACACTGGTTGCCTGCTACCACGACCGCCATCACGGTCGCAGGTAAACAATGGAAGGAAAACCACGTCTTCCTATCGGTTGCACCTTGGAAATAAGCAACTTTTAACACTATTCACTGGACTAACATTATTAAGCACTATTGTTTGTGAATTTGACAGATGTGAACGAATGAAACTGTGCCATGGACAGATGCCGTGGGATGCGCCAGGCATCCCAATGGAATGAAGTAATTGGTTTCTCTTCGACAAAGAAGCCAGTCACAAGGCTGCTGTGTGTGCGACGGAGCGTTACGTGTTGTTTTTTTTTAGATAGAAAATGTAAGTGTAAGCCACGCTACAGTACGGCTTCGAACAATAAATATTTATAACAAATATATACCACAGGCCTGGCAAAGCCATGAATAAGTGATGTTCTCATGCCCACGTAAACAAAAATTGTTCTCAAAACACGTAGGCAGCAATATTACTAAAGTAATGGCACCCCCATGTGGATTAACCAGGATATTCAACTCTGTGAGATTGTTGTACTTAATACACCTTTAATGCATTCACTGACACTGCAAGCATTATATTCTTTCCCACAATATATTTTACTACCGCCGAGAATGAATACAAGATGCTTCGTTCAGTGCACCGTGCCATTACTAAATAATGTGTCAGGCCACGTACTAAAGAATTACAACTATTTAATGCCCGGGTGGCGCAGCTGTCAAGATTGCTGAACTCACACCGCTGAAATCCTAGATTCGAATACAGGCCGCCTGCCTATAATGACACCGACCGAGTTGGTTCTTAAGTGTACTGAGTTGATGATCTTAGTCTGGTCACCAACGACTACACAAAAACAACACATTACACGTGATTAATATGGCTAAATTAAAGCTCTGAGAATGAAATGTCAGTTTGACTATCCCGCGACAGCATATTCTGTTGTAGGGCAGGTGGGATAATGCCGACTTGTAATGTGTGGATTAGAGGTCCGTTGAAGTGATCTAAGTAGTAGTTATATATGGGCCATTATCTAACATGCAGCATTGCACTGCTTTTTTAGAGATCCTAAGAGATTATTCGTGCTGTGACACAACACCAAAACACAATCGGGATAACAATCGGGTAAAAAGACAAAAAAAGGAGATTAAAGATGAATTTTTCCAAGGCTGTGAGCTTGTCTTAAATGCTTAACGTTTACAAAAGCTCTTGTCAGTTTAACACGTAGGCTTTCGCGACCAATGTTATTCATAATCAACGATTTTTGGGTTTAGATCGCGTTTATTTATAAATGTGTCGTAACCCTCCACCACCCGACACGGCCAATCAGTAAAAAATGTGTCACGTTGACAAAGACAAATAGTTCACTGCTTTAGCCCACCGGTGTGTTGAAGCAACAACATTCACAATTTGAGTACGACGTTTCGCTGGTAATTACAACCAGCATCATCGGGCAATTCGCCAGAATGGCAATACTGATTGGCCGTGTCGGGTGGTGGAGGGTTACGACACATTTATAAATAAACGCGATCTAAACCCAAAAATCGTTGATTATGAAAAGCTCTTGTATTGCGACAAAATCTCAGCCCTGCTCCTGTGTAACAGCAGTGTCATAGCGAATGCTGCCCTTCAGAGACATTAAAGCCTACTGCTCCATCCATTTGTGTCATTAAATGTGGCCACTTGGTGATGGTGCTAATGCCAAATTAAGACCACTAGCTGAAGAAGACAGTGCTTGGGGGAAGAGCCATTTAAATGATCTGCTCATGAGGAGTTAGACGAGTTAGTAAATCTTGAGCTAGCACGGAGAAGACAGAAATACTTTGTCAGGAAAGCAGAATAATGAGGCTAAAGTCCAAATGAATTCACTGACATGTAGGCAAGTAAATGGAAATATTAACATACAGACAGGCAGGTGGACAGAGCAGACACAAACAGTAAGTGACTGGCAGAATAGACATACAGACAGATAATTAGTGACCAAAGACAAAGAACCCCCTTATAGCCTTAAAACAACTTTTGGGGCAAGTGCTATTAGCAAGCACATATGAAGGCCGACACGGCACGCAAGTGGGTGGGTGGCCAACTTCACGCCCAACTGCCTTTGTCTCCCCAGTGGTGATGTTTTACACATGACATCAGGTACTCATTTGAGGGTGAATCGACCTAGGGGAGGCCCATCACCGGTTCAGATAATCGTCACTGGTGTTGGTGGCCGTGAGCAGGAAACAAACTCGGGTCGCCGGGTTCATAGCGCAGCACAGCGTGCTAACCACTGCACAACTGCTCCCCACTAAATGGTCACCCAAAGTAAACACACACACACACAGACGTACCGGGATGAGGTGCGTAGGCTGCGTCTCTTCCAGTTTTGTTCGCAGCCAGTCAAAGTCTTGATAGCGTCGGCGCACCACAAACTCCATGCCGTCGTACTCGCTGCGTGTCGTCTGCAAAAGATTTGGCACAGCACAACACACGCAACTACAAAGCCCGAAGAGCGAGGATTTTAGAATTGCAATACAATTGAGTTTTTGCGTAGCATGAAAACGGAGGTCTCCAGATGCTGTGCAGTCATGACAAGGTGATACATCATGAGAGCGTAAAGAAAGGAATTTCACAAACATTACTTGTCTGACACAGACAAGCACTTATCCAATTTAAATAAAAACAAATTACAATCAAAAGTCAACCATGCACATCACATAAACATGTGCAACACAATCACTCTGTCGAGCGAAAACACAGGGCAACTTGGGGATTAAAAACAAAAAGGCAGATCTTGGGTTACTATATCACAAGAACACAGCAAGACTTTAATTGACACTTCACAAGAGGGCAGATACGGCTGGCTAGTCAGTAACGAACTCTACCTGGGCAGACAGATAGCAAGCAGCTCCTTCCCCTGAAAACAACATGCCAATAAATGCATTTGCATGGGCTCGACACACAGCGGCACCACCATGATGGAAGAGAACATGCCAATGTGCTCAGTCACCTAAAACCCTGTGCCCAGCCATGCAAAGCAAATGCACGTGGGTGTATAAGGAAGAGGGTTGCTGGCCATAAAGATAAAAAAACACTCCACTATACTCCCCACATACCAAACCACTCGGTTTTCAATCTTAGTCATGTGTACCATTGCCAAGTGCAATGTGAACCTGCCGTGGGACTCCCCTAGATCAAATAAAATGAGCACCTGCTGCAATGTCAACATTAGGGATGGAGAGACAGGCAGCTGGGCGTGTGGTGCTGGCCCCATCACCCTCTTGTGTGCCATGCCAGCCTTAATAGATGCCTGCTAACATCGTTCGCTGACGATCAAAAGCCTTGGGAACAAGACGCTATTATGTAGCTTGATGCCTTGACCGAAGGATTGAGGTGACCGTGTCTTTTGGCCAGCACTTGCGAACAGCAGAGAATACCCCTTCGTTGCCATTGAATTTTTTTTCATATTTCAAACTACGGCAGAGTTATTGTGGTTATCGTGCCGTGCTACGAGCCCACCAATCTTAGCTCGATTCTCGGCCATGGCGTATAGCAGTGATATGAGAACAGGGCCATTCACCAACTTGCATTGACCAGCACGCAGAACGGTAAAATAGCCTGCATGACTGACATGGTGTGGCGAGGCCTATTGGATGATTAAGAATGGCTGGTATGCATTATTGTAATTTTGTTTCCAACTACCTCGACAGGGTGGTGCTCACCCGCTTTGGAGTTGAGGGTTGGTGGATGGTGCAGAGATTCGTGCAACCAAATAACCCAGTGAGCTGCAAAAAGTGGCTAGGAGATGACAGTACAGCAAATGGATGTGTGAATGTTATACCTTCTCTGTACGTGTGGCTTTTCTGTGAGATCTCTGGGTTACATGCCAAATGCAAAACGCTGACTTAAAAAGAAAGTGACAAAACATCCCCTTTGCTGGCTTTCGTAATAAAACGTTAGGCCTCTGAATGTTTTCATTGGCAAAAAAATGCTACCTACTATTTTACACAATTGCACCATATTTCAGGAAATTAATTTCAGAATTAATAATTAAAGAATACAAATATATGTCAAAGATTAAATTAAAGAGATGAGCAAGCCAGCAGGAACGACTTCTTATAGAAAAACAAAGACTCTTGATTATCTGCGTGCATTTTATCCGATTTGCGGATTAACTGCGCACCTGAGATTGACAAATTAATCATTTTTAGAGTTTCTCTTAAGCCCAAATTTATAACACTATGTAACACAATTTTTGTTCCTGGTTAGTAAGTGTTATCTCGTAATTGCTTATGCCTCAAAAGTATAGAAATGGCTATTATTCCCCACAAATTTTGCTTTTGTGACCAGGACAGTGATATTTTGAAATTAACCTATTTTCAATGAGAAAACGGGCGAATTTGTGTCTTTTCGTTCACATAAAATCAGAAAAAAACAATATATGAATCAAAATTAACATGTATTTATACTAAAGTAATACAATAAGTACTACAAAATATTTAGAAGCGAGTAGTTTTTCAAGATTATTGTTCCTCCCCACAGAGAACTCTGGCCAGTCCCGCCTGTGGTCGTGCACCTTGGTGTCCAAATCGCTCGTTCTCATTGAAAATAGGTACATTTCAAAATATCAACATCCTGTTCACAAAAGCAAAGTTTTTGGGGAATAATAGCCATTTTCTGTACTTTTGAGGCATAAGCAATTAGGAAATAACACTTACTACCCAGGAACAAAAAAGTGCTACCCAGTGTAATTTGAAAACAGTTAAACATTGTTATTTTGTTTATTACATGTCACGTGCTTAAACCGAGCAAATATGTGCTCCGGTTAACCCAAAATCCATGTGATCGCCTCTACAGTATGGTACAGTAGTTGCAAACCGTTACTGCAGTGGGGCGGAGTTCGATTGATTTTGATTGGCGTGGCTCTGCTATCCACTTAGTGAGCCAAGGCTTTTGCTCGGGAGCAGGAAAGTGTTATCACTGTGCACGCGCATCGATCAGTCGATCGTTTGTATTCGTTCCACAATAAAAGATTAACAATGAAATTCGTCAGTTGTGCTTAATTTTGAGTGATTTATCCAATCATTTTATTTTGTGAGTTTAAATTTACGAAGGAAGAAAAAAACGCCACTTTTTTCAAATTTTCTTGCTGTGGTTTTCACACCTGATGATGATTGCTTGTGTTGCAATCGAAACGTCGTGAGAATTTTTGTTTTATTTTTATTATTTCATTATTTCCCTTCTACGTTACTTTACCGAAAGAACCAAGAAGATGATACATTGTTCGAAGATGATACATTGTTCGAAGATGGACAAAACTGGTGACAGTGGCCCCCAAAGGAACTCTGCCTGCTTGAACTCAGGTTAGATGCTAAAATGTGGAATATGCACAAATTGTGCTTTCTTAAATAAATTGTGCTTATTAGATGTTTAAAATAACAAAAATTATTCTGAAAACTTACTCAAACTATTTTCACCAACTTATTATATCCGTGCCCGAGGGTCGCTGCCTTCGGCGAAGTGAACATTGTGCGCGTTTCAAATTAGCATTAACATTATTATTACAACGAAACAAAACTACATTGCCTGTGCCGAGTGAAATTGTGTTATTTTGTTTACAAATGCAAGTGCATGATAAGTAATTGGTGAGGCCAAAAGAGATTAAGTGTCACGTGATTAAAAAAACATGCAGCGAAAAATCATAACCGATCGAAGAGTCATAACAAAAAAAGATACCGACTGAAACCACGCCTAAAGCCACAGTTTCCCAAAAAAGTGTATAGTTTTAGAATGATGACAAGGCCTGACAAGAGGATGTTTGCCATCGTGTTGCGTAAGCAAATGGATGGATTACGTATTGTGTTCAGTGTTAGCTACCAAAAAGGCTCTGAAAAAAACCTCTCTAGCTAGACATCTTACGAATAATCGCCGAATATGCTCAGGATACAGCACGTGCATGGAGCTGCGCATGTAAGAAATGATTACGATTATTAGCTTGACTTTTTTCGCTCAGAAAATTTATTTCTCACGCAAGTTTTACCTTCAGGCTATCTGTCGGAACTGACGAGAGAGCGCACACAAAACAGACGAAAAGCATTAATTCTCAAATCAAATTGTGACTCTGAAGCGTAAAAAGTCAACGAATCACGACAGGGTGGGGAATTATGAACTGCAACAACCCTACGACTATCAACACATCAGCTTGAGGAATCTCACGGCACACGATGAAATCTATACAATTCACCAACTTTGCCGATAAAGTATTGGATTACAGGCAAGCACCATCACACCATTTAAACCGTGCACGTAACCTTCTCACATGTTATTGTGTCCCCTCAGGACACGAGCAAGTTCTTTTGTTTTCAACGTGGAGCACGTTGCTAGCACTGCTGAGATCCCACATTCGAATCTAGGTAGCTGCTTGTGATACTGGTAGGAACCTCTGGTTACACCAGCCCACAGGGGATTATTCTGTCCGTCCGTTCGTCGGGTGGGGAGGCAGGGGCTGGGTGGGGAGGGGCTGGGTGGGGAGGGTGGGGAGGGGCTGGTCACCCCGTGGTGCCCTTATAAAACTCAACATTTAACCTACTCACACCGGCTTGTGCCTACCCTCACAGTCGGGCATATTTGCAGAATACACCACGCCGCCGTTGACCCTGACCATTGGCCGAGCAACCCAACGTTCCTACCAGCTCCTTCCGCAGGAATGTGTTTAAACTGTGTTTAAGTGTAGCGAGTTCATGGTCTCAGCCCAGTCATCAATGGTTGCACAATAAAAAAAAATCACATGCCATTTGGTTCTGCATTTAATTTGGCTAAATTCCAGTCCTGAAAATTGTAAATGTTGGTTTGTCGTGCACGAGAACATTACTCTCGGTGTTAGAGCAGGTGGGAACCGCTGCCTCCCTACTGTGTGGATCAGATGTCACCTTAAGAAAAATCGATCGGAGGTAGCTCTGTAACATCCGCATTCATGGACCATACTCTAACACGTACGGACGGACGGACGGGGGGGGCTGCACTGCTCTATGAGCGTTACAAATGGATACTCGGTCTAACAATAGGATGCCGACAGCACAATCAGGATAACAGTCGGGCAAAGACAAAATACAAAACCAAACAATAACAAACTATTTAATGGGAACAACAGTCGCGGCGATCCTCCTCAACTCTTGAGCAGAGACCACGCGCCCCGTACCCGCACAGTGACGCGGTAGGTGATGTACGTCTCCATGGCCGTGACGTGTTTCTCAGGGCTGTCTACTCTCACAAAGAGGTCCGTGGGCTCCGACTCGGTCTCCTCGCCCAGCTGCAGACGGTTGAGCAATGAGGCCGGTGACGGTGGCTGCATGGGACTCCTCTCGCACATGTGGGTCTCATCCTGTTGAGCGGGGGGGGCGGAGAGACCACGGGGCTGAGTTATGCGGGGAAGGTTTGACGATACGGCACCGCAGCAGCCATAATATCCACCCATTCGAGCACTTGCACAAGCTAAACGAACCGTGGATTTTTCGAGACCTGGCAAGAATTAGGTCACAGGCGTAGTTTGCCTAGAGAACGCAATTAACTTAAGGATAGGCATAAGAAAATTGAGACGGGAACAACAAATCAATTTAAGCAAGTACCCATTTATACTGGCAAAAGACTGCCTAACTACACATTTTAAACATATGCAATGTTGAGAAATAAAATACCCTGGAGTTATCTGCCCCATTTGTTGATCAGCAGTTTTGGATGAATGCCAGAGGTTTCATATTTCACATGTTTCAAAGGTATATCATCGGTGATTGCATAAGGTACATTTCAGGAAAAAATCCAATGTACAGTACGATGCTGAACGATAACAAAAGGCCAACCATGGATACTCAAGCACTCACAGAACACGAAGCTTAAAATACCATTCACATGTTAAGATTTATTTCTGTGGCAGCAGTTTTTGGGGTACATTATAGCTGGGCAATTCCAATAGCAATGAATATTTGTATCCTAAATTCACAGCCTGGACGATTCTTGCAGGAATTACAATTCACATATTGGCGATTCCCATGTTAAAATCTACAATCAATTGTATGGGATTCTGAGTGGGATTCTGTTATGGAACACTCATGCAATCAAATAGGTTTCGATTACAATTCTATTGCGAATATAGCATCGCTATTCTACACTTGCATTTGGCAATATGTTCAGGAGCTAAATGCCAATGTCGAGGTCTGCTACCCATGAGAGGGCTTTGGCAGATAGTCCGTGTAGCGTCACTAAGTTTTGGCTAAGCTTTGCTAAGCCCAAAATCAACTTCCATACGATTTGTATAAATTGTGATTCTGGTCGATACCGGCCAGTAGGTTTTCAAGCAAAATCGCTATGGAAATGTATTATATATATATTCATCGGCCATACGTCTCAATGGCTATTCCACTCGGCCGGACAGGTCCCGCAGGCTCTCTCTTGCTTTTTGAGCGACTGAATGCAAAGCAGGGGGCCTTGAATCCCCAACCGCCCCAATAATTCTATGGATCTTGTGAATTCGCAATTGCGTAGGAAAGAAAGCAATCGTGATTCCATGCTAGGAATCGTGAAAGTTAACCAGCTTTCGGATACATATAACGTCCAGATGCAATAAGTAGTTTCACCAATGGGTCCATAATGTTAAGATTACCAGAAATTAGTATGCACATATTGTTAATTAGGCATATTTCCTCATTTAAAAGCAGCGTCTCCTATAACATTCTAAAGCGATTGCCTCAAAACATCCTGTTTGTTAAATGCTTTGCAAGCTGAACAAGAGGTCACATTTCAATGGAATTCAAGTGAAGAGGTGCAAAGTATTGATTTTAGACATCTGGGCTGCATGTGGCGTGTCAATACGAGCCGAGGAAAACTCTCAAGTTACTTTTGAGCCCCGCAAATGCACAGCAGGCAGTTATTAGCTATGCGACATGACCTTCGATCATGGATAATGCTTGTGCACGTGAACTCTGAACGCCTGTTTGAGCTTAGGTTAGCAGTTACTTACCAAACCCACCGTTAGCAAGTAGAGAGCTCTCTCTCTAGAAGTGTCCGGGTCTACTCTTCCATGCTGGTTAGGCGTCTTGGAAGAGATTGGGTTACCCACACTTTACTCCACCACAAGCGACCTGCCCGTCGGCTAAATGTGGCATACCCATTTATAATGCTGGGTGGACAGAGGTGGGGGAGATTTAAGAAACGTTCCGATTGTTGGCAGATCGAACCGGCGACCTCTGGATTGCAAGTGCATTGTACTAACCCTTAACAGCAAGGCAAGCATCCATCTGACTGAATAAAAAAAATAACTTCACCACGCCTCTCATTGCGTTTCAACTCTATTCAATATCACCAGAGTGCAAACTGTGTACCGAGGCTACGGTATGACAAACATTGCCACAGTGCCAGGCCCTTTGGGACTTTTAACATCCAGGCTCAAATGAATAACTGACCAAAGTGCCTCACCACCTCTCAAGCACAAAACGGATAGGTGGCTACCATGCAAAGTATGTCACGATACAATAAACACTTCAGCCTATCTTGCGGATGAAAGCATCAGGCACACTAAGCCTTCTAATGTGTGCAACACATAGCGACGTTTCCATCGGACACATACGATTTTAACCACATCAATAGTCAGCGGTCTAACATACTGTATTGGGACTTTTAATGGCCCCAATATATTACATGTAGCACTGCATGGTTAGACGCATCTTCAAAACCACCCCCACCATTCACACGATTATATTTCTGCAGTTAACCTAATGGCAGTAGTGACTGTCATACTGAAAGCCATGTAAGTGGCATACTAAAAAGGACGTTTAGATGTAGTGGCATTCAAAGTGCAACAATTCGTCTGGTCATAAAGTGGAAAGCAACTTTTAGAATAAATTAGGCTTGTCATAACATATTTAATTATGGACATTAAATGTAACTCCCCAAACCAATAAACCGATACAACGCTCAATTGAAGACAGGCTACAATGGCATCTAGACAGAAGAACAACTACAGCCCATAACTGACGTGGGCTCACTTCGGTGTAGTGACCAATGATTTTAAGACTGTGACATCGGTGCTACTTTAAGGAGATCGAGTTCACTTGTGTTCAGCACTGTAAAAAGTGTATTACACTTTAAACACTTGTGAGCAGAGTGGAGGCAACAAATAATTCCAACGCCGTGTGAAAAACAGCAGCCAGTAGAACTTGCTTGCAAGCAAGACCAAGAGGATGGAGCTAATATTGTCCTGAAAAATAATCTGGCACCAAAAGGAGATAAAATCACATTCCCAGACATTATTAACCTTTTATTTCCATAATGTAATATGTATCTGTCTGTGCGATCACAATACATATAATACCATGTTCAATAGGCTGGCTCGAAAACATTGTGACTACAAAACATTGAACAATAAGAGGAATATCAAAATATGTATTTGCTTTGCTAAAAATGCATGCCAGACATATATCTAATAGTCACACATAGCAGAAGTATTTTTGTTGCATTGTAAAAATATATAGGATTTACTTAATATTCTATCAAGTATTGTATATTCTAATACTGTTACTTATTGCATAGTGGAATAAGCATAGCGGGTTTTGTTGCTGCAAAAACCACAAGACCTTTATCCAGCAGGGGATATACCATGGCTGATGGCAATCGTGATGTTGATGAATACATCAAACATTAAAAAGGTAACATTTAGGAGGAACAATGGACAAGCAACAGGAGGAACAGTAATGGCACCAATTACTATACAGTCTGCATGAGCGGCGAAGAGGACAGAGCACAACTATTTATTTTAGCCACTCCACAACGCAGCCTGGATCGACAACACTTTGCCAAAGTGAATTTAATTGTACCAGAGAAACAAATATATATAACCCTCACCTAAAAATCCATGTAAAATACTGTGGTAACACCTTATAAACAATGCAGAGCACCGAACAATTTCCACAGTAATCAGCTTTCAATGTAAACCCGTTTGGAGAACGTGACAGCCAGCAATTTCTACTGGGAATAACAATACCAGGAAAGACCCGTCTCTCGGCACAGTGGCGTTTAAAAAGAATGGCAAATAATTAACAAGGAAGGCCATTTTGTTGTTGAAAACGTTAAGCTATTACCTTGTCATGAAATATTTACCCAAATACCACAACGATATTTTACAGCCCTTTGTCGAATCCACTTCTAGATGAAGGCCTATTCGACAACAACACCAGCAACCCATCATAGTATCCAATACTCCTGATGCCATGAGCATTGGAGATACACATTTCGCTGGGATCAAAGGTGATTGAGATACAAGCATGAAAATTCCACTTTACACAGTCCCAGATAAATAAAAGGCGTGAAACGTTTTAGTGTTGTGTAATATGTACAGCGGGGTGCCAACATCAGACCTGGTTCAAATCATTTGCTTGTTAGACTAAAGCACTGCCAGATTACAGATGATCTCTCAAATTGTGCTGATAACGCAAAGGCGTTGAAGCACGGTTACAATCAACACGTTTAGTAAAAGAATAGGCACAGATGAGCAGCGACCTTGGGACCCCTGAGCAAACCCCTACATACAGATTAGAATGCCATTTCCAGCTGTTGACTTTTAGAAGAAAGGTAACTAATTGACAAGGTATAATCCAGGAAAAATGTAAACTTCACGTTTCCACATTGCATATATTGAGTGGCACCCAAAGATTCAGCAGCCTCTTTGGCAATCCATTGTTGAATGAAGGATTCATCCCCATGCTGTGGGTGGCGATGGATAAGTGGAGGTTTCATGTGTTCCTATATTACCTCCCACTGATGTTAGCTGTGGCCAGTCTGGTTGCTGGCTTCATAGTGCGATGTGCTTACGGCTATGTTACCATACAACTCCCATTAACACACTACACCGATATGCACATCTCAGTCACACATTGTCATCATCACTGTCAACTAAAATTGATCAGGTATTCCTGGATAGTTTTAACACGTAGGCTATCGCGACCAATATCATCCATAACATACAATAGTTTTTTTTTGGGTTAGATCACATAAATATGTGTCGTTAAACCCGCCACCACCCGACACAGCCAACCTAAGTTCAGATTTGGCTATCGCCTGATGAAGCTAGTTGTAATTACTGGCGAAATGTCGTACTCAGATTGTAAATGTTGTGGCTTTGCTCTCCAACACACCGGTGTGATGTCCTATTAACGAATTGGCATGTTCTGTTTACGTGACAAACCTTGCTAATTGGTTGTGTCGGGTGGTGGCGGGTTTAATGACGCATTTATATATTTATGCGATCTAACACAAAAAATCTGTCTTCCTGGATAATTAATTTTTCTCAGTGGCCAGTTCCATAAAAGTATTTTTAAAAAAAATTTGCCCTCCGCTTTGTGGGAAAAAGAGCAAAATCCTTAAGTTATTTCACACAAGCACGTCTCCCCTTGTATGTAAAACGTGCTGTTAAAAAAAGACGCAGCGAAGTTGTGGGGCGCACAAAAACAAAGCAGAAAATGTGATTCTAGATTTGAAGCTTTCGTGACTGCAAGGATTCATATTCTTAGGTTTTTTTCCGGTAAAGTCACGTAAGTAAAACATCAAAATTAATAAAATTTTGATGTTTTACCTACGTGACTTTACCGGAAAAAACCTAAGAACAGAAAATGTGACTTTGTGAAGTAATCCCCACGCGCGCATCAGCGTGGGGTGGGCCCTCATCCAGCAGTGGATTGGGTCGGTAAAGCGGGCAACCCACTTAAGGTAGCGGTGGTCAAGTGGATTTTCCGTGTAAATCATCCCCGCCACATAAACGTGGAATTTCCGTTCCTGCGAGTACATAAGCACGGGACCCGCACTTATTTCAACACAACCCTAATCTTTTAAAGATGTTTATCGTCATTGAGGACGACACGGGAGAGACACCCAAAGCGATGGAACGCGTCCGATCCGTACCCCCGGGGAGATGGAGCTATGACTTAAGCTCGTGTTGCAGGAACGAGGTTGAATATTTACATCGTAGGATCGTGAGAGAAGTTGATTAATCATGAATAATGATGATGACTTTGAAAAACAATTTTATATTGGCCTGAAAAAAAAAGACCGAGTAGGCCGCGCGAGGCATCCCGACTTGCCTTGTTCCTCCTACCGGGCACGAGCGCCCATCGCGGGCAAAGCCGGCCAACGCCGCCGCCAACAACAACACCACGAGATACAAAACAGTGGTCACCACCAACCTCTCCCGCACACACACCAACCACATCATCACCATTGTTACAGCCCATCGCGGCGTACTTCGTCTGTTGTTACCTTGCCAGTGGCCCCGTGCTCCTTCATGTCGTCGTCGTCATCCTCCTCCAACAGTGGAGAGTCGTCGGAGAGCGGGTGCGAGACGCGGCCCAGAGACGCCGTTGACTCCATAGCGGGAAATCGAAACGCCACCCTCGTCACATTCCCCTCACAACCACCACCACCACATACACACACCCCTTACTTACAGTGCTATATGCTTGTGCGTCTCAGCTTCCTTGGTTCAATCGTAAAAGTCCCTCGAGAGAGGAGAGAGAGCGGGAGAGCGAGAACCCTCCAACAGTCGGTAGGTGTCGCTAGGCAGGCCGTACAAACTGCTGCGAACGCCATTCGACGCATTCCTCAATCACGCCACATTTTATAGCGGGAAGCCAGATTGCGCTGTGTTTGATGTTGGCCGGCTCGAGATTTGGAGAGAGGGGGAAAAAACCCGGAGGACCCGGAGAAAAATCCACGCGACCACGGGGAGGGAGAGACATGCAAACTCAAAAAATACAGGGTGTTTCAAATCGATGGACTCGATTTGAAATCGCGATATCTCTGCAACCACGAACCGCCCATGAATGAAACTCTTACCACTTGAGAGGGCGGGGCATAGAGAGGGCGGGGCATAGAGTTTAAAATGATTTTTTTCGATTTAAAGCTTTCGTGACTGCAGGGATTCATCTTCATCTATGTTTTATTTTTATCATTTTATTATTTCCCTTCTACGTGACTTTAAAAGGATTACCGCTCGATGCCTCTCCCAGCGCACAAATTGCCCCTTGCCTAGGTCATTCATTTGCAAGATGACAACCCCGCAACACAAGGCGTTTTGCATTCTAAAGTTCAGCAAGACTTAATCCGTAATTGCGGTGCAGCGTGCGTTTCAACGGCACTTTGGCATTGATGCGCCAATGTCAAAGAGCATTCGTCGTTGGTACCGACAATTTGAGGAAACAGGCTGTTTATGTAAGGGGAAGAGCACAGGGCGACCATGCACCTCAGAGGAAAACGTGAGAAGAGAGGCGTTTGGGACGAATTCAACTATCGTCTCGATGTTGTCCGTACAGCATGTGGAGGGCACATAGAGCCTTTATAAAATGGTTAGTAACATTTGATAACTCATTAAACCATTTGTAAATTTGTGTAATTGTAATTGCTTTGTAATTGGGTCCCTCATTTTGAAACACCCTGTCCAGCAGGCGTCGGGGTTTGGATCGAACCCACGGCCTCCTGTATTCCAGGCGAGGTAATGAACATCTTTGCCACCACGAAATGTTAGGCGGCTCTGTTTTAACGGAACAAAACAAAAATATGCGACGTTTCGGGCAATGGCCCTTCTTCACAGCCGATACGGTGTTTTAAACGATAACATGTTTTATATGGCAACGTTTTTTTGCGTGTGGTATCACGAACGGTCATTATAATCCGAATCGCCGCCTAACATCTCACGGTGATTATGAGATGTTAACTACCTCGCCTGGTATACAGGAGCTCGTGAGTTCGATCCTGACCCTGATGCCTGCTGTGGTGTATTTGGAGTTTGCATGTCTCTCTCCCCGTGGTCGCGTGGATTTTTCTCCGGGTCCTCCGGTTTTTCTCTCCACATTTAGAATCAACGTGCGTTTAGAGTACGGTATTTGGCCGCTACAAATTTCTACACGATGATAAGCCACTTCGTTGAGATCTCATTTGTGGCCAGATCGCTTCCGAAAAAGAGCTATATAGCTCAGTGGGCCTTACCCGGTAAAATAACAAATATTTTACGGCAAAAAAATACTTACATTTAAGGCAGTGTTATTGAGTAATGTGTTGAGTTGATTGTTCATTGTGTTTGTGCTCAACTGCCAACGTAGCAGCAGCGTCACCACCAACTATTGTATCCATCCTGCTATGATTCTGAGCCCCAATCACCATCCCTGGTCCCATAAAAAAAACGAAAATCAGGTTGCTAAAGCCACAATAGCGTACACAGAGATATCACATGTCCACACCTCTAGTCAATGCGCTCTGAGTGAGGCATTTGTTTCATTAGAAATATATATGGATACCTAATACCTAATACATCAAGTGGAAAATACGACTTTGGTTACGAATACCAAATTATGGACTGTGCCAAATATGAATTGGAAGGTGGTGTGTGTGCTACGATTCACATACTGTACTTTTATACAGAGCAATTGAATGGCTACATCACTTGGAATAGAATCTCTCATTTTTGCCATTAATTGGCCATAAAAATATCACTAAATAATCATGAGCATTCTTGTGGAGAATATCAGTGACAAAATAGTCAAGCAGACAACAGGTGTGAAAACTTGATTTGAAGCTTTCGTGACTGCAGGAATTACTCTTTGGTTCTTTCGGTAAAGTCACGTCGAAAGAAAATAAATTAAATAATAGAATACGACGTTTCGATTGCAACACAAGCAACCGTCATCAGGTAGAACTAAATTTGAGAGAGAGAAAAAACAAAGACACGGAGACACACAGACAGACACACAAGCAGAGAGAGACAACACAGAGACACACAGAGAGAGAGACACAAATCAAGTTTGAACCACCTCTACTGGGAGAATGCAAGTTTGTTTTCTCTCTCTCTGTGTGTCTCTGTCAAATTTCACACGTAACTTCTAATTTAGCAATCTTTTGGAGAACGTAATCAACCAGGCTATGCGTTAACTGTGTGTTCGCCGACTCTCTGTGTTGCATTGCATTACATTTCCAAAAAAAATTGCTACATTTTGTTTTCTCAAACTGCCTATTTCTCTCTCTAAAATTTACCAGGCTCTCAAAGGGCCACTTGATCTTTCTTTCCTTCAGTCGCTTCGGGGTGGATTTCCACACAACTCTCTCTAAAATGTACCAGTCTTGTTGGGTCTTACACTGACATGCTAATTTCTCTGCTCCAGCAGCTGCCCCAGCAGACCCAACTCTCTTTCTGTCCCCCTCTCTCTCTATTTAAGGCCTCGACACAGAGGCATTGGGTCTCTGTGTGTCTCTGTGTTGTCTCTCTCTGCTTGTGTGTCTGTCTGTGTGTCTCCGTGTCTGTGTTTTGTCTCTCTCTCAAATTTAGTTCTACATAATGACGGTTGCTTGTGTTGCAACCGAAACGTCGTATTCTATTATTTCATTTATTTATTTTTAATTTTCTTTCTACGTGACTTTACCAAAAGAACCAAAGAGTAGACAACAGGTCTCCTGCACATATATGTCTCTCCACGTAAATAATGAAAGTATATTTTTTCCACAACCCATTGGCCTCACGGCCTTCTGTTAGTGCACCATTTCAGCAGCATTGATTCGTTACAAGCGTACTCTGCACCGGTGTTGACAAACAGTGTCTCTCCTTAATGAAGGAGAAATTGTCCATTAGCGTGTTTTGTGTCTGTAGGACATTGGTTTCGCATTATGTATGAGAGTGTTTTTGTGTGGCGCTGACATTTCCCGCCCATTCTAAATATTCGTCTGCACGGCACCCATGCCACAAACTGTGTGGCCCAATGAAAGGAGTTTTCCACGGTTTGATAACTCATGCCCGACAGTAAAAACAATTATATTCTTGGGTCTTTCGGAAAAGTCACGTAGATAGGTTAAAAGAAAATAATAAAAAAATAACAGAGAACTACGACGTTTCGATCACAACGCAAGCGGTCGTCTTCAGGATAAGGGAGGTTAGCTTCCAGGGGAAACTGTTTATAAGGGTTTGAAATAGGCGTAGCCTAAATGTCAGCAGCCAATGAAAATTTAAGTGTTCGGCAGCGAGTCCAGCGGTAGTTCGTTTTCCACCAATCAAAGGGCTGCCAGGTGAAAATTAGCATGCTAAAGAAAGATTACCATACTTTTTGGTTCTTTCGGTAAAGTCACGTAGGTAGAAAAAATAATAGATCATGACGTTTCGATCGCCACACAAGCAATCGTCTTCAGGTTTTGATGTGTGGCGATCGAAACTTCGTGATCTATTATTTTGTCTACCTACGTGACTTTACCGAAAGAACCAAAGAGTACGGATTCCTGCAGTCACGAAAGCTTCAAATCAAGAGAGATGAGCTTGTTAATGGCAGATCGCAGAGCCGCAACCAAGAGGTCGGCGCACGCAGTGACTGTGAAAGCGCAAGTTTGAAATGGACATGAAGCACAACTAACATCGGAAGGTGGTAGGATGGGAACATCATAGCCAATTATGAGTTAAACAATTGCTTCTTAATTTGCCAGGTACCATTTGACGCATCCTAAAATAAGAGCTGAATTTCAGCTGGAGCTGTTCAGGGCTGAGCTTCACAATATATTGCTGATGTTGGAGGGAAACTGCATGAAAGCATTTTGGGCATTTTTTTTTTACAATTGGTGTGGATATTTGCCATGGTATAATGGTGAGCACACTGCACTTACAATCCACAGGTTAAAGTTTAGTCACCTCCCAGCACGACAGTTGAATCTCCCCACCTGTGTCCAGCCAGAAGTAGAAATGGATACACCACAGTTGATCGGCAGGTCATGTGTGGTGGGGTAAAGTGTGGATACTCCAACCTCTTCCAAGACATCAGGACAGCATGGCAGATTAGGCCAAATGCTCTACAGAGTGGCACTCTCGACCTCCTTCTACTGGAGGCCCTTCTGCCGGTGGTAGTGTGAGCAATTAATCACATTTACCAGTGTAACGTAAAATATCAATTTGCCTAACTAGGGCAGTGCTTGCATTGAATGATAATCTCCTCAAATCAGTTTCACAAACGTGTATTTTTGGCTTGTACATGCATGGGAATATATCTGTTTTGTTTTGTATTATGTGATTATTAAAATTGAGGTTTGTTTTGCCGATTATATCATTGAGTAATTAATTTAATGAGCAAAGCTGCCCACGTACAAATTATCTTTCGCGTGACTTCATTGCAAGCTCCAACCTTGTTTCATGAACAGAGAGTGTTATTTTTCAACTGGTTTATTTACTTACTGGAAAGTGAAGACATGTATTAAAATTTCCATATACAATACACTGCTCTGTGCGAGTTACTGGCTGTAGTTGAATGGGTTTGATATAAATTAACCCCATGGCTGCTTACACTTCTCATGCTTCCCTTGTGATGTCTTTAACATGCATACATTTGTAATGAGCGACTTCCACAACAAATCATGTAGAGGGTACTTTTTCTTTATTACTCACACTGGGCACAACACAGGCCAACACTTCTTCTTCCTCACACTAAGTATTAACACCTCTACTGGCTATACACACAGCCGATCACTCGACGTGGTCCCACCGCCCTCACTCGGCTACGCCACTGTCTGGCTGCGTGACGATGACGGCGATGGAAACCCCGCAGGAGATCTTCGACGTGGCCGGACGACAGAGAGAGATGTCAGCGAGCAGCGACGCAGCCAGGACCCAAGACTCCACACACGAGCCCCGAGCCCCGGGTCCGCTCCCCCTTATATCCCCCCAGGCGTGGCTAGGCCCCGCCTCCAGCCACGCCCTCTCGTGGAACCTTAGAGCAGGTTCCCGGAGCATCTCGGCTAACCCCACCTGTTACCTCTGCCCCAGATACCTCTCCTTCTC